GGTAATCGGAGATTCGATCCATAGGGACTCTTCGTCATGCCAGTCTCGATAGATTGTTTTCATCTTTATTCTATTCATAGATGCCATGATCTCATCCAAACTCGTAGTTAGCTCCCCGAGAAAGCTATTTTCAAAACATTACCTCGGATCTACAGAGCGGTCATGTGTTATTTCGGGTAGGACACGACTAGCACCATGCTCTGGAGGCCGTTGAGGTGGAACACGACCATGCTCCTTCGATGGCTGATAGCAGGTAAACACTTTAGCTGATCCATAGCTCCATCTGGAAGAAATAACCAGGTACGTTCGAACATACGTAGAAGCTAGCTTCCTAGCTCGCAATGCGTCCAAGACAAGCGGCGAGAGTTTGTATTAGAGCAGCTGTGGCATGGACAGGGTTTATTCCTAGTGCAGTAGCAAAATCGATCGCGGAGATGTTCATGCAGAGATATCACTGTCCATATCCTGTCTCTTAGGCAATAGAGATAGATATCTTACCAGGCTAATTAGGTTAAATATCAAGTCTTCAGACGGATTGTCTTATGGGCGTCTTGGCTCGATCACGGATAGGGTTGATTATCGTCGTACTGACAACCCGGTGTCCTTTACTTCAGGCTTGTGCCTTGCCGCTATAGAACGTAGTCTCCTTGCTTTTACTCTTGAGCTTTAAATGCAGTTCCCGGAATTTTTTGACGCTTTTTATTGGTGCTTTCTGTATGGATATTCCATGCTAGTAAACTATGGTCGATCTCGCGTGGAGAGATGGACTCTGTGCTAGTCCTGCGATGTCTGATCTTCAGATGATTGTAGATTATCTGCGTAGGTGCAGGAGTGGGAAGCATAGCAATGTAACCTATTTGACTGTGACGATAGAGTAGATCAATAAGATTAAAAGATGTAGATAAGGGCACATATACGGAAATACCATGAAGTATGAAATAGTGGCAACACACCAGGATATCAAAATGCCCAGCCCGACCAAAGACCATATTAGGAGTGTCAACTCAAGGTGTCGAATAAGAACCCCAAGCGCCTAGGATTGCCCTTTTGTCTGACTCCCCTTGTACGACGTGCAGAAGTACCTATCCAACCGGTTATGAGTAAACAACCAATGATATTAGACCTACCCCAAGTATCCGAGCATTTTTCTCAGGAAGAATACAAAACATTTATTCATTTCCCTTCGGAATGGGAAATATACACCCCTCCAGTGGCAAAACCACGGTATATACCAACGAGACTTGGCACAAAAGCTGGACTTGAACCCAATTGTTTCAGATAAAGTCAAAAATAGTCTGATTCTAACAAGAAACCTTCATGATCCACATACTTACTATATCTCCCAAATCTCTTACCGCATGCGGATGTAAGGTTTCTCCCCCGGCCCTTCACCAGGGATGTTATTGACAAGGATCCGAGTGTTTAAAACATCGGAATATGCCGAGGTGCAGCGCGGCTTGGCTGATACGAGGGTATTTCTCCTTTGGATAATTTAACATGAGACATGAATAGGTTTCATTGGAGAGATTGGATCTTTTACTTTAGCATACCGTCGAACTGATGGTCACACCAACGCCTGTTTTGTTTCACCTGATATACTTAGATAGAGATAATCGCATGTTGAATTTATAGCTAATAGCCAGACAGGGCTAAGCTGACATGTACGTACATTGTCATGAAGCATGACCTGCACTGCTGTCGATCAGGATCTGCATCTAATGATTTCTTACATTTAATAATACGATTAAAGTGAAATCCTTTATACTACCTTGCTATAAATCTCTGCTGCCTAAGAAAGCAAACCCTAGCCCTCTCAGAACTCAACAAACAGACTGCTCCTTAACTCTCCAATTGGCTCGAAACACCATGATCCATTCTGCATGTAACCGTTTCTCTCGGAATATCTGCACGTACACCGTCCACGACGGAAATAGTGCCCACCTTGCTTCGTTTGGTTTTCAAGACCGGAGCCTCCCCAAAAAGCAAAAGCAAAGAAAGTGGGAATTAAGTAAAAAAGAACTAGTAATAGCGCCACAATAAGCCCTTTAATCTTGCATGGCCTTTTAATGAACTCAACCCAATCATTCGCTCATTCCCGCAGGCGAAATCCATGTTTGCTTACTTCGGCGGGCGTCAGTCTATGTAGTCATCAGACACGAAAAAAAGAGTCCTGGAAGCAAATTACCGTAGGTCCTTGCTTCAGGTTTGATTGGGTAGTTGAGTTTGGGAGAGGTAAAAAATAAAACAAGTCAAACAAAACAGCAGAAAAAAATGCGGAAAAAAGGCAAAAGCATCAAGGCAGAGACCGCATAAGTCCATATCCATTGAAAACCGGACTGGCAGCCCTGTAATAGATGAAGACCAGGACCAGGACCGCAGCAAATAACGGTTCCTGGCTATGAAGAGAGCAAATCGGGGAGTTTAGGGGTACGCCTTTAATGTTTGTTTTCGAAGATTTGTGTTTGTACTATAACCTAGCTTTGTTGTGATATTGTCTTTGTACCAATACTTAGACAATGCTAATTCAACTCTCATTATCGGATTACTATAATATCAAGTCCAGATCTTAATCAAATCGGTTCTATTCGCTAGCATATTCCGACATTTGCTTTTGAAGACAGTCTTAATGGCATTCTGTATGCTTTTTCTCCGAGGCAGACACATGAAATGAGACAGTATCTCGAGTAGAATTGGAGCGAATCAAAAGAGATAAAGAATAGATCACAATGAAATAAACAAGGGCCACTAATCCCACTAGCAACCAGATGATAGGAAGAATAAAATAAAACAACGAATAGAAATGGCCTCATGATCCCCCACGCCGTCCTGCACCAGTGCATAACCCCTTTTCCATTTGGTCGTATCGAGCATGATAAAAAGAGAAAACACGAGAAGAAATCGAGATAATTCAGAAACCAGGGGCAAAACAAAGGCACAGCCTAAGTACATAGACTATGCGAATTCTGGATCGGATCGTAACGGCTATAATTCGTTGAGTAGACGGGGTCATATCCACCAGTATTAGACTGGCGATGTTGGTGGGGAACCCCTGTGTAGGTATTATCCTGATATGGATCTGATTTGAGGTAAAGGTCAGACTTGATTGTGTCCATGGGGTCCATAGTGTCAATCATTGAGTACTCGAACCCAGAGGAAGACGAAGAGGAGATGAGAGGACTGTCGCTGAGTGGAGAATGGTCTGTAACGTTAATTTTCCGATGATCGGATCTGCCGTAAGAAAGACCATTTCGATGCGACGTGTCGTACACGAGCATGTGGGAACGACCCGTTTGGCCCAGCCCATGAGGAATGACACCACAGGTGTTGTCTCCGCCAGCCCCATCCGGACCCATGCTACCAGTACTGCCACGGCGTCCGTCCTTGTAGTGACCGGGTGAACGTCCGCGGACGACCAGGGGGTGGGAGTGGCGCCGGGCGATTTGTACCCACTCAGTTTCACCTGGGACCGAGCTAGCAACCTCAGCGTACAGTTCAACGACCAGATTGTAATATTGTTGCTGGGCACGGCGCTTGCCATTGTTGGCGGTCGCTTTCTGGAATTGGATACGTTCGAATACGTGGGACGTTGGAGGCTGACATGGCTGAGGTGTCCCCGTGAAAGAAGGGTTGTAGTCCATAGATTGCGAGCCAAGGGGGAATCCCGAGAGACTTCCATTAACTGTTGAGGTTGATGTGAATGAAGGCGGAGGTGCAGGCTGAAGAATGACACGACCTGGTTTGCGTTCGGATTGCTTGTCTCGCTTTGGGGTGTGTTGAACAAGTTCTCGAGTTTCTCCATATTGACCGTTCACGATAGCAGAAATGGCCATTGAAAATCCACGGATTGGTTCAAGGGTCTGGTCAGGGTAGCGGATGTATAGAGGAGCATTGGGAGGCCAAGGATGAAGGCCAAAGCCGCAGGTCACCGCGAAGTAGTTGCGGCGATAGCAAGTCCACTTGCCCTCAGCCGGAAAGGGCCCTCGACCCATTTTTGCTTGGACATCTGGTTTCACCGTCTGATATTGGCCACCAAACTCTGCAACAACTGTATGAAGGATAGTCGTGTCGTCGAAAGGCGGAGCCTCAATCTGGGGCTGTGAGCGTTGTGGGGACTCGACTATCGGTTGCTGATACATATTATTCTGAGATCGATCCATCCCGCTGTCTAAGGCGCGTGGAGTGCCCGGATACCCATGACGGGAAAGATCGTTCATTCCCCCCATAGGCAAGCCGATATTTCCAATTCCGCGCTGTAAAGCGTATGAACCGTAGGAATTATTGCGCCCCATGAGTGCCGGAATGGAGTTCAAGGCATGCCCTGAGCTCTGCATCCCCGTAGGCATTCCAGTTGGCGGTTGACTAGAGGAAAGATCAGTACTGATGAACCTCATCCACCTTTACAGGAGCGTAAAGCTTACAGCGCTGGCACCCGTTGATAGTCTGCCATTCTATCAAAGGGATGCTGAAGTCGAGAGATATGTGGGAAGAGGGGACCAGACGTGGGCGAAAATGAGTCTTCACATCGCAATGTATCAGTCAAAGGAAGTCTCTCGGGATTGAAAGTAAGAAAGGGCTTACCAGGACAAGAGTCTGGCGGAGTCATTGCAAGAGCACCCGAACTAGAATATCTAAAGTGAAGAATGGCTCAGTAACAGCTCATCATGGGGAATCCACGTGCGATCGCCTGTAATTAAAACAGTCCAGAAGATATCATATGAGTCCGGGAGCGGCACGGAAACCATGATGCGTAAAAAGACAATGGAAACGGGGGGCGGGGGGCGAAAGAGGCAAGGACCTCAAGACACGGCACGAGCTCAGATGAAAAGGACAAAACATCGGAAGAAAGACATGCAGGCAGCAGATTGGTATGGAAGGTACCGAAACAGGCTGGACTGAAGTTCAAGCTGCCCGGACCCGGAGGAAGCGCAGCGACAAGGGGGTCGAGAGGCTGACCGAGTGGAGCGCAAGGGCAAGTCCGGATTGAAAGAACGGAAAATAACTTACTGTAAATCCTGCATCAAAGGATGCTGTGCGTGGTACCTCACGCCGTTGGTGTCAGGCATGGAGACGAGACCTCCGACTCGCTGGCTGTTGTCGTCTTCGTCCGTTCCAAACCCTGTCACATGAGAGTTCATATAGTCACCCTCCGAAGTAACGGGATCGTTCAATGAGAATACCTCCGAGAGAAGTGCTGAGAAATTCATAGGTTAGAGATGAGGAAGATATATGGGGAAGAGAAAAAAAAAGAAAAGAAAAAGACAAAGGCAAGAGAAAACAACGTCGATGTCGAATCAACCGCATGACGGAATAAACAGGGAATGAAAAAGAGAGAAGCTTACAGGGATTCATCCTGAGCGTGCTGATACCAGGTGCCTCGAGGACCCTGAAGTTTTTGGTCAATGTAACACCGGGCGAGACGCCAAAGCTGTCTGGCCCTTGAGGTCTTGGGTGGCAAGAACTTGATGTCTAGAATAGCAAAGGTTAGGTAAACACACAATCAAATTCTCTCACAGTACTTGATTGTTACCTTTGACGTCTGGATCACTCAGAAGGTGGGTGCTTTGAGCCTATAGAGGTGGGAAAAAATCAATACAGCTCCTCTTGGTCTTGGAGATAAACCAAAACACAATTCTCACAAGAAGTTGTTTGGAAGGCAAGTAGCAAACACGGAGTAAAGGGAGGGTGGGGGAGAAAGAACGAAGAAGTATAAATGAAGATAGGAAAGGCCTTTGGGTTATAAAGTGAGCGTGAAGAGTAATACAATATAGTATGCTCAGTAGAACGGTGCGTAAAACGGTGCCCTTTTCGATGTTGACAGGAAGTAGATGATCGTCCGGGAGCCAAAAGTGCGTCACCGGTTTATAGACATGACTTCCTAATTGGGCGATCTCGCATTAACTTAAGTCATAGGTACAAAAGTACAAGAGAAGAGTGTTGGAATCGATCGGGCCAGAACTTATAGTGTTCTTTGCAAAGATCTTAAAGGAGAGGGGGGTATGGAGAAAGAGAACTGTAGAGAAGAATTAGCCCAAAGCGAGCAAAAAGCCAAGAATCCCAAAAAGCACAATAATAGCAAAATAGCAAAATAGCAATCGCAGGCCAACGGAGGGGCAACAAAAAAGAAAACAGAAAAAAAACAAAAAAACAAATTGAAAAAAAAAATAATCACAGAAGGGGAAAGGAAAAGACACTGATGTAATCTGGTGTGACAGCCTGGGGACGACGAGCAAATAAAAAGCTCTTGTCCCGGCACAAATAGGTAAGTATCTTGGTATTGCAGCAGGGTACTTCCACTTATGCAACCCTAACTTGGTATTTAAGAACGGCCGAGCAGATCTGGAGGAATCATCTCTTTTGACAGGTTGCAGGAAGTAGATATGCGCTTACCTAGTTGTATAGATGTATAGGTATAGATAGTTGTATAGTTGAGTAGTTCGATATGAGGGCTGAGACCAGATGTATGTGATTGACTTTATCCCCGGAATTAACAAAAGGTTGCAATTGGTATGTTCTACCCAATGAAGCTTCCGGTCTATGATATTGTCTAGAGCCGTTCTCGGGATTGTTGGAGGATCATTAGTCTATCCTGGTAAGGCTCAGGGCCCACTAGTGATGGTCTAGCCGAGAGGCGACTATAACCACGAGTTGGATCTGCCAGGGACAGTGAAATACGCTGTATTCGGTAAGGCTCCAATGGGGGTGGTGGATTTGCATAGGGGTCCAACCATAATCGAAAGATATCCGGGTTATCATTTTCTGTGTATGATCTCTGTGGGAAAAAAAAGAAATGAACAATTTTCTTTTTCCTCAATCATTTGTATTTTGAAGTCACGATTTGGAATTTTGACGGGGTCGAGCGCAATGAGGAGAGTAGCATCAAATCATCATCGGCTCCAGACAGTTTGATTGTTGAAGGCGTATGGCATTGGTCAGAACACCCCATGTCCACGGGTTGCGTGCTAGAAGGACCCGACGGCGGCTGCACGGACCGTAGGTAAGGCCGGTACGTACACGTTGTATGTGTTTTTCATTACAGATAATTCCCGATGGGATCAGATGTCCTAGTGCGAATACCCGACAGACGGGTCGCTGCAGGAGAGCGAAATAAGATGAAACTAGAAAGGATAGAGGAGATGATCGACCTCCGGGATATGTAACTATGCAGACCCATGACAGGGACGGTTGATGTATCAGACTTGGAGGACCCCAGACCAATGATAAAAAAAAGGCGAATTAAATATGAGAAATGACCAAATCGGGTAGAAGTCCTGACCGAAGTCCGTAATGTTTCCAAGGTCTGTCGGAGTAGTTCCCGTCATATTTAATTCTTTTAAGCCGTAAGAGGCTCGAGGCACGAGCTGCGGTTCTTGCATGAAGGAACTGGACGATCATGCGATCGACAAGTTCCATTAAGCATGTTGCATTGTCCATGTTGGCGGTGTTCACACCGACAGAACCGGACCTGGGAGAGCAATAAAAATAGCACGTTCGAGACGATGCACCCCAAGATGGAGTATATCCACTCCACTCCGAAAGAGAGATTGTTCTGGTAGCGGTTTCTCTTGCGGCGCGAAACCGTGCCCTAACTGCAGACGGGGGGTCTCCAGTCTCCACTAGAGAGGCTAAAGCAGCTCGGTGGGGTATACAATGATTGCGGTCCGTACCCGGGAGCCTTTTCCAGAAATCGAGCGGCACTAGTCCCACCGTTCCGTCAATGAAACGTCCAGGGAACTGGAATAGATTGGAAAGATCCTGGTCTCCATGAGTGGACAGTCCTGATCGTGTCGACAGAACTGCATTAGTGGCTAGAAGATCGACCATCCTGCAGGAGGCTGGGTGAGATGGCAAGGTGCAGTGAAGAAGCACCCGCAAGCTTGTGATTGGGTAGGGTAGATAAGCCGTATATTCGATTTCCTCAGTGGTTATGGCGGGTATGTTGTGCAGCTATTCGCCCCCACGGGCACATAAGACCGTGTGGGTACCGAATCGGTAGGGAGTACTCCGAACTAGGTGCAGGATTGATTACCCGTACCAAGGTAATAAAGTACTGATCAACTATACCAACTTTCAGAATTCCAAGGGAGACAATAGTGAACAATAACATATTTCTTTTTGACTCTGGGGGGTCAGCCCCTTCCCGGATGACGGGGCTGACACGTGCAGGGGCGGTGAACTGGACGAGATTTATGTAGTAGGTACGTGGGTTTTCATATTAGATTAGTGGATAAACTATGTACCATGTACTTGTGTTCTGCCTCCTATTAGGGCAGTGCAGTAATTGTTGATGCTTAAATTGATATAGCCAGCATACATTTCATTCGAAGGTTAGGTGCTAAAATTAGGGCCCAGGGGCTATATTCCTAGTTCGACATTAGGCGCCAATTGAAATCAAATAATTTGTGCAACTAACCCCCCCGGAAGACACTATCAGATCCATCGGTCCACCCGTGAACTCTCCACATGTCACTTTTCGACATATCAACTCACTCTACTTGTGCTCAGGTACGGAGTACAGAACTATAGATACAGGAAACGAATGCCCGCAAATTGTCCGATACGGTACGTCCAGGGCTCACTGCAGGTACCTCGAAGCCAATGCCAATAATTTGACTTTAGAAATGCATGAACCCATCTATGGATGCTCTCGACATGGATTAGCCCCAGAACCCTAGAAGCCGGAAAACTCTGACAGCTTGACGTTGCAACTGTCTCAGTCCATCTGTCTCTGTTTCGGGCACGTGCCATCTACCGAGTCTGTCCTCCCAATGGTTGAAATCTCAGAAAAGAAAAATATATATATTCCCGTGCAACAATTCTTGGCTGCACGTCAATGGCAAATCCAATGCCATGCCCTTCATTGCTGGTTACATTCGGGTGTTCGAGCTTCGGACAGGGGGCGCAAAGCTACAGCTCCTGCCAACGGTAGAGAAGCTATAACCACATCCCGGAGTCGGGATTGCTGACTCAACCGTGTTATTCGCCCTGGAGATCAGAAAATTCAAATCCAAAAAAGACCATTGGCCAATCTCACCAGCGTACAGATCCAGAGTGTCATCCCAGACGGTTATCTCCCCGGGTCTTGCTGCCTCAGCCCCATATGCTTGTTGCTCCAGGATCTGAGGATGCGACACGCCCCATGGACCCATAGGCCATGTCCAATGCGCCAATCCTGGTCGATGGGGTCTAGAGTTCGAAGTCTTGCATGTCGGGGGGAGATATTCCTGGACGATGACTACCAAGTAAGGAAAGAGTCGGCAAATCCTCCTATCCGGAGACAATCCTGTGAGGCTTTTCTTTCTGCCTTGGTGATTGAGACAGATTAAAGTTTTACTTTACCAACGGCCGCGGCCTCTAGGGCTTCCATCCCCGAGACATCCACCGGCCTTGTCCGGGCGTAAAAATTGATCTACCTAATTCTACCAGTATCTTGTACCATGTCAAGACTCATACCATGTCGAGCTAGCACATTCAAGGAAAATGGTATGATTTCCAAACTAATTTCCCTTACTCGCATCCATGGAGATTAAACAGTTCAGGCCTCTATGGCTCCACAATTCAGCATTGGGTCGCCTGGGCACAAGGTTCTGTGATGGGTTACCTGTGTATCACTTCTTCCGAGATTGATGGTTACTTTCAGTGAAAGTAGACCCGAGTACTGGTGGCCTACTGCAATGGGCTAGAATGCCTTGCTGTGGGAAATTGCAAGATCAGTCCACCCTGCTTCGCCTTCCCTGTCCGCGAAGACAAGAGTTTGCCCCGAGACCAGGATGATCATTGGCAGTTTCCCCACCCTATGATCCCAAACTTTGATCACCCTGGATCTACAGCCCGCCAGCACAGATCGTATCACGACCACGAAGCTCCGGCCAGAAAAGTTCCATCAACGTCTGAGAGTATCCGACCCTGTCGGCGTGGATGGAACGACAAGGCATCAACCAGACAAGGATGACAATGGACAGAAGGGTGTTTGATTGGTTCGCCGCCCTCTAATTCTGGAAACGAAGCTTGTCAGGCGAGGAATATGCTTTGGATGGCGTGGGATGCAGGCCAGTTCAAGACTCCACTCATCAGCCAGCAGCCCATCCGGCCGTTTTTTTGCCTCCCCGTGGCAATTCTCAGCCCTTGACAATCATCCTGCGAGTAGCTCAGCCAACCCCAAGCCGTGCCGGTGTAGCACGGAGGAACAGCCAAGACAAAACTTGCTCACCGGCCGAAACGCTCCCAGTGAAGAACTGCCCTTCTGGTCAAACTCCTCAAGCTAATATAAGTGCATCATGTTGTTTGGCGCCGACATTCCCTGCAAGGTCACTAAGACTTCGGAACGTCACGAACGCCCTTTCACATGTTGATGCAGCCGTGGAAAAGTGGCAGCGCCAGAACACGGTGGGCTGGTGAGCGTTTTCGAGAGAGCCAAGGCCGAACCTGCAGGGAACAACATCTCGGCCTCTCCACTGTCTCCGTAGCCCCGTCTTGTTTAGTATGGGGGAGGCCTTCGGCGAAAAGCCGGACCCGTAGGTAAGCTTTTCCCACCTATTCAAGTCTCTTTCCTAAAAGAAACACCGATGCTACGTTATGCAACCCATCCCGTTACCGGGAAATTTAACACGACAACTGTTGCCGCCGAGGCTGGGTCTGTGTCTGACTTGCTGAGATCTAATATCGACTGTACTTTGGTACTTTGGTGATTGACCCTGGGATCTGGCACCCGAGCGCGTAGCTAGTACGTAGTTGGCCTGAAGCTAGGGCACAACAGGAAAAAGTCCAGGTTGCCCGAGCTCCATTTCCTTCCGATGTCATCTCCACTGTCATGCGAAGATGCAGAAAATTTGATGTCGAAATGCGATCCCTGGAGCCCTTTGAAAAATCGAACAGTCGAGACCTGCGACGTTTATCTTCCAGATGACAGATTCGCCGTCAACGGCGTGCAGGATTGTTGTCAGCCGAGTCCGGTACCTGGGCACTAGGTGTGGTGGCTAGGAGATGGGGATTTGTCAAGCCTGAAGCCAGCAGCGAGAGAGCTTGCAAAGAGCAGAATGGCCTTGGTTGGCATCTACTGTTATCATGTTAACCAGTTTGAGCTTTTCCGGGAGAATTTGCACATTAACATGTCTAGTGGACGTTCAAACTGCGTTTCGACCCAACACTGATGTTCATCCCCACGCTTATCCGCACGCCGAAAAAGACCTGAAATGCTAGGCAATGAGGTATGTTCGCAGACTTGCCTATAGATTGTTTTGAGACATCGTCCGTTCATACAAGCACGGGTTGATTTCCATGGACGCTTGAGATGTTCCATGGTAGCGTGAAGCAAATATAGAACAAGTGCTTCGAGAAGGACATTATTGGAAGTAAAGAAACACTACCAGGGATGAGGGTATGACCGTAAAATAACCAAGAAACCCATGTATGAAGTTCAAAATTTCTCTAACCCATTGCTTTTGTATCGACCGACGAATATAAGTAACTGACATGCTTGATGTCTTTTTGGGAATCATCATTATCAACCAGGTCCTACAGTACAAGGAAAAGAGCTTCGGCCCAAAGATAGGCCCGCCTGAGAAGAAGGAAACGTTCCATTCAAAAAGTCGTAAGAGAGAACCGAGGAAAGAAGTTTAAGTAGTGCGCTTGGCGAACTCGACGCGGAGAATAAGGTGGCGGTAACCGACTAGCAGAAGAACGGGTTAGCACTCGAGGAACTTGTAAAAAGAAGATCACGAATCGGAGCGTTGAAGACATACAGCCATCCACCTTCTCGCAAGCAAGTGCTGCGTCGCCACGATCCGCATAGCTGATGAAAGCAAAGCCCTTGGCTCTCTGGGTTTCCCGATCCCGTGCAAGGAAAACTCTGGTGACACGACCGAAACGCTCGAAGAGATCCCGCAACTCGTTCTCCTCTGCCAACTCGCTGACCTATTTGAAAAAGTCAGTATCGAACCAAGATAAACAATCACGATGCTCGTAGAGCTCATAGAGCTCGTAGATAGCAGAACAATGGCAGAACATACGTTTGTAACTCTCAGTGTCGCCAAATCGTCCTTCTCGAAGCGACCACCCATCTTCTCGCCGCCACCAGCACCGCCCTTCCGCATGTGAGGAGGAACGTAGCTGGACTTTCCAGCACCAAGACCACCCGCATCGTCCTCCGCCTCGGCGCCACCAGCAGCAGAAGTGCCCTCCTCGACGGGGGCCATGGTGTCCTTGAAGGGACAGCGAGCCGTGAAATGCTCTCCACTGCAAATACGACACTTGACCTTCTTGTCCTTCAACTGGTCCTTCATGCTGCCCTTCTCGGGACCCTCCTTCTCAGCCTCCTTAGCATTAGCCTTCCAGTTGACGCTGGGTCGGAAGACGATGTTCTCGCCGACGGAGGTGGTGTCGAATGAGGGACCGGCGGCGTGGCCCTTCTCGAGACCGAACTTGTCCCATTTGCGGCGTTCGGCGACCTGAGGGTTGACGTGTTCGCGGACAATAGTGGTCTTAATTCGGCGGGTGACCTTCACTTTCTTGTTGTCGTCATTGTAGCGGTAGGAAATGACGGTCTTGGTGCCGTCCTTGTTCGCGATCACTTCTTGCGGCGGGAGCACGGAGGGGTCATCGAAATCTTCGTCGTCGGCCCAGTCGGCGCGGCTGTAAAATAGAAAGATTTGTTAGGCCGGTGTTTTTTGTAGGATGCAACTGTGTATACTCACTTCCCAGCTGGAGACATGGTGTAAGTGATGGTGTTATTACGGCTGCTGAATTTCTGGATTTCTTTCAAAGGCGAATCCGTTGTGGATTTAATAATTTACTGTGGCACAGCTGTGGCTGGTGGCGGAAATCACGTGGCGTGGTTCCAAGTTCTGTTGAACCTCGTTCTACTCTCCGATAAACATGATGGCATTCAGCGAGTTTCATTCCCTTCAAACAGAGTGAATATTGGCAGTGGCCAGAGAAGTTATTCGCCCTCATCCCATACTTCATTTTGTGGCACTTTTCCTATCTAGCACCGAGCATAGCCTCGAGCAAGGCTAGAATACGCTCCCTCGATATGCCTAGAGCCAAAAATTGACACGGACTTTCATTGCTTCCTTTAAATGATCCTTCTATGTACGTTGGCTTGTCAGTTCCAGATAATCTTATAGTTACCATACAGACTAGTCACCACATGGACACACAAAAACCCATTGTGGAGTATATACTCGCAAATAATATCAAAGTCCCGTTTCAAAATCCTTCAAACCCTTCAAATCTTTCATGTCGTCTTTTGAAACGGGATTCACCATTTGTATCTATGCTCTCTATCTCGATTCTTCAGATCTGACAGGAGCTAGATAGCCACCTACCGCTGCAAGCACCAAGTTTGGTGTTGATCGGGGCGAAATTATGTGCCATGCTTGAGAAGCGTTTTTCATAAGTTCATGTATTCACTCAGATCATCACAAGGAATAATCTTACTTAGAAAATACGACAAAACAATGCCACTCGAGTACTGTTATATCGACCTCTTACTCTTAGGAAGTCTAGCATGCATGAATACATCATCATTTTCTTCCCTTGATCCTCACTGGGGGGTGTAAGGAGGGAATGAAATAGTCGCCAAGAGCACTCGTGATTCTCTCATATCGCTGCTTCCAGGTGGGATCGGTCTTTGCTACAGTGGCTGTCCAGGCAAAGTAGTCCCATAGGATGCAGATCTTCTTACTAGGCATAAGAAGCCTGAATACGCCAACGACGTAATCCGTAAAAAGTGCCATCTCCCAGCGAGAGCGGATCATCTTATTGATCCTCCGTTGTTTTTTGCTTTTTGCTTGCGAACTGCAGTTTTTGGCTTGGCTGGAAAACGCGGTATGCACTCGTTCCGCCAAACCCCCCGTCCACCCACCTCCACCACCCAATCCTCCCCATCTTCCTCACAGGAGGTGTACGGGCTTCCACATCATCCCCTGCATGGATCTTCTCGCCGGTCCCCTCTGGCTGCTCGCCAACAATGATATCTTTCAGGCTATTTTACGATATATTAGCCTCTGTGCATACATAGGCAAAGATCCGCCAATGTAGTTTCCATGAGAATCGTGTTTTACCACTTACGGGGTATCCTCAATATCCTCGCTCTTGGAGGCTGGTCTCCTCCAAAAAAAAAAAACAAAAAATAGCCGGTGCCAGCAAGGCACCAGCTATGACAATCATGAGGGCCCAAAAGCCTGGCACGGCTACCAACTGTTGGCTCATGGACCGAGAGGTCCCGGAGGTAGAATCTCTGGAGCATGACACAGAGATGAGGCTTCCCATGCTCTTTCTTAATGAAGATAGAGTAATCAGAATTTGTAGGATAAACCCCATAGAAATCAGTACATCATGAAGTCACAGATACCATTCTCGGGGACTTTGCATCTGACAGACGGATATCAGCTGGTGGAAGTTCGAAGTCGCCGTCGTCATCGAAGTCGATCCTGTCGTGGTACTGTAGGTCGGGTCCTGCAGTTGCGATTGACAGTTATAGATTGATAAAGATATGAAGAGGAAGAGATGTGATAATGAGGTGTGAAGGGGATAAGTAGAGTCAAGTCGCGAGGGGAATGGAATGTGAATTTAACCGGGCTGATATGATTTCAGAAGTGACGGTAATGTAAGAGTTAGCTGAGTGAGAACTGGGGGATTTGGCGTACAAGTCATATAGAAGGTAACATTTAGGAGTGATGGTAATGGAAGGGTAGGTGAGGAAGGCTGCGTGCTTATATATATATCGTATTAGGGAGAGCGAGAAGCAAAGGCGAGTATGTAAAGGTGTAATGGAAGATTCCTCTTTTTGTACATTAAGAACGCAAACCAAAGCGTTTAAATGGCCATATCATCATTTGCTTCTCACGTGTACAAAATAGCATAAAAGATATCTAGAAACAAATCACAGATCAAAAATCCTTCAAAGCCTCCTCAGTCCAATCCCACAACCTCTCCGCAAGCGTATCATCCCTCGCCGTCTCATCAAGCTTCTTATCCTCCAACTTCCCAACAGGCTCATAATAACCCCCATTCCGAATCTGCGCCTTATCCACAGTAGCCGCCCAAGTCTGATTCAACGCACCCTCATGCGGCAGCACAATCCTCCACCAGCTTATCGCATAAACAAGCAACTTCTCCTTAAGCCCAAGACCACTAACAAGACCCGTCCCCACAATACCAGGATGCACCGATACAGACGTGATAGCCGGGAACCTCTTCGCGAGCTCGCGCGCATACACCAGATTCGCCAGCTTACTCTGCCCATACCGCCGCCACGGCCCGCCGAACCCCATATCCTGGGTCGTCTTGAGTTTTTCGAAGATGATGCCGCCGTGCGGGTGCATGCCCCATCCCTGCGAGGTAAGGAGCACAATGCGTGGGTCTGCGCAAGCCTCGAGGAGGGGTAGGAACTTTTTGATCAGTAGTGCGTGGCCGAGATGATTGGTGCCGATTTGGAGCTCGTAGCCATCGACTGTTTGGCCCGGGGGTTGTGCCATGATTCCCGCGTTGCACATTAGGATGTCTAGGGTTTGGTGTTGGCTGGTGAAATCCTCTGCGGCCGTTTTGACCGAGGCCAGGGAAGATAGGTCACATTTTATGAATGTGACTGCGAGCTTGGGGCTGGTTTCGTGGATTTGTTTGATCACTTTCTCTGCACTTATGGCGTTGCGGCCGCTGAGGTAGATGTGTGATGGGTTGTGCTTGGCGAGGTGGATTGCTGATGCTGCACCTAGCCCGCCGGTCCCTGGGGGGCTGTTAGTTTTGGACTTGTGGACAGTAGATGGAATTTGGTTTATACCTCCTGTGATGAAAATTGACTTCCCCGCGAGATCAGGGATATCTTTTTCGGGATTATAGTCGAGAGGCATGGTCGAGGTGTGTAGTTAGGGCTAGATATGTTGCGCACAATATCAAGGTTTGAAAGTATGTTGGATTGACTTGGAATAGAGAATTGTAGTTTGAAATAAGAAGCAGATTAAGATTCTTGCCCTGCTTTTATACTGGGAGGTGCACGATTTCCGTACCCAAAGATCAAACATCAACTTTCCGGATTGGGAAATATGCTTGAAGGCTCCACATGTGGCTTGCCCAGCCAATGGAAACCAAGAGTTTCCGAGCTCGCCAATACAATCCGCCTATCTGGCAGTCTTGATCATGATTCTTTACGTTCGCTGGAACGGCTTGATATTGTACCGAAGAGCAAGTGGCGAGTTTTCTGAATTCCCCCGAGTCCGACGGTGAAGTGGCTTAGACGAATGTCAGCTATGTAGCAATCCTTGTAATCTCCGTTGCAAATGAAAATCGTTGAATGTTGAAAATGATGCAATATGTTGTAATGCAACTATGCAAAGATAATGATATGCACAAAATTATAACCCTATTCCCAAGCTAATATGTACATCGCAAAAACCCAAAATCAAAACTTATCGACCTATCATACGAAGCTCAATCGGTCGCAAGATGCAATATACCGCAGCAGCAAAGGCAAAGCCTAGCTCAAATCCGACGTCACCACCATATGTTGGGTCACCAGCATGCGCGGCGATAGGACCCATCCACCACGTTTGGCTCATGCCCACAACAACACCGGCGACGCCAAAGGCAAACGCAATGGCTGCGGCGATTCCCATGGGCAGCTTCTTGGGATCGTCGTAGTCCTCTGCAGAATAGCCACCGAATCCACGTCGGAAAACGAAGTGGTCAGCGAGTACAATGCCGGAGTAAATGGCCAACCAGTAGGCGATAAGGGCCATGAAGTTCTCGAGAACGGTCTCGAAGTGGCTGTAACCGGGGATGGCGATGGCGAGGGAAGCGCACGAAGCGAGGAAAGTCCAGATGAATCGCGGGACGCGCTGCGTAGCCCGGCTCAAGACCTGCAAGGTCAAGCCGACCGAGTAGATGTTGGGGCAGTTGTTGGCGATAATGGACAGGGCCAGGACGACGAGGCAGAACTTGCCGAAGCCGCCGAGAGGTTCAAGCACGGCTGCGAGCAGGCCACCGTTGACCGAGGCTGCATAGCCCTCGGCGTACTTGTTGTGAACTCCGTCACCCATAGCCGTCGCGGACATGACGGCGATACCGAGGAATTGGGTGAAGAGAAGGGGGACGATCAGACCAAGCCAAGCAGAAAGGAAGACCAGGCGACGGCTCTGGGTCTTTGGCTGGTAGACAGTGTAGTCGGCAGCGTAACTGGTCCAGCCAGTTGCGAAGCCATAGACAGTGGATCCAAAGGACAAGCAGGCACCCATTTCAGAAACTCCGACTCCCATTGGGATGTTGACGAAATCGCCGGAGTGGGCGAATGTGCCCAACACAATGAAAAACACGATGCAGGTGGGAATCCAGCTCCAGTACTCATACATGTGAACATACTTGTACCCAGCAAAGGTGACGAAAAGTGTGCAGAATGTGATGATGAGGATACCGGCGAATCCAGGGACTTTACTGTTCACCGCGTTGAGGAGCTGGGCACCAACGATGGCATTGGCAGCAGACCAACCCACACAGGCGATGATGTTAAGGACGGCAACTAGACATGAATTAGCAAAATTAACGCACACAAGCTGATGGAGAGCCAACTTACTGAATTTCACAGGCCACCATCCAAACCAGAATCGCGAGAGCACCATCTGGCGCAGTCCAAACATGGGACCAAAGCACGAGAAGTAGCACACGGTCATGACACCGAGGAGGTTGAAAAAGAGACAGACCAAGATGGCATCAACGAAGCCCAAATCGAATGCAGATTTACCAAGAACGCCGATGGCGAAGGAGCTGACGACCATGTTTGCGGCCAACCACTAGGTTTGGTCAGTGGAAAAGGCCTTCAGGCCACGGCGATCACGCCAGGTAATTGCAGGAACACACCATGCTACCAATATTAAGATAGGACGTATCAGTCCGCTCATGCTCCGGAACTCGCTCGACACCTCGCTGCTCGATGTTGAGCTTGCCGGCTAAGCGCTGGATCTTGGCGTAAAGTGAATTGCCATATTCGAAGCTCTCGCCGGGCACGGCGCCATCGCTGGAGTTGTCGAAGAGCTTGTTGCTATTTTGTTCGGAGGCATTGTTCACCTGGGGCGCCTTTTCCAGGTCCTCATGTGAGGGGAACATTTTGGAGGCCATGTTTGCAGGTCGAATCCTCATTAACGTAAGGCGAAGAATTGGAGGGAGACGAGAGTATATAATCGGGAGTAATCGAAGAGCTGAGTAGTCTCAGCGAGACCCAGGGAGTTCAGGATGAAGGGATTGATATCGAATCAGTGACACATCCTCTCTTTCTTTTTTTTGCTCCACCGAACGGGAGGCGCTGTTAATATAGTATTGTGTCGCGAGAATTCTTTGCGCGTCCGGCCCCACCACGATCTCTCGCACTGTGGCAAGGATATTCCTGTCGCGTGTTCCTCGAAAAGATCCATAAAACTCAGAGACGGGCCGAATGACAAGCCCTTGAGGCCCCATCAATGGATTAGGTGGACCAATCAGGACAGCCCTGCCAACCCTAGCTTATCAGGACGCCGAGAATTCTGGCCTTCGCTTCCGTCTCGGGACAGTTGGCGTTGTCATTGGCCGACGGAGTTGTGTGAACGGTGGAAGTGGAGTGTCTCGGGACTCAACCCTGGAGATAAGGACAACCTCCGACTCCCGATACTTCTGATAGTGACATTACTCTTCACTCCACCTTGGGCCAGTGAACCTTCTCTGACCATCCTTTTACCAATCACACTGGCTTGATCTTATCATTATACAGGGGCCGTCTACTTGGCTGAACTTTGTCTACACACAACACCCCTGATTGGCAGCATGCCACGCCTCTCTGCCTTTCAATCAAGCTTCTGGGTCCTTGCCAGACGGGACACGCCGATGTGCGTGAAGCTTAGCAATGCTTTTTTAATCTTCACGTGGTGATTCTCATTATCATTATTCTGTTTATGCGGGGGAATTATCCACGTTCCACGCGAGGCGAGGACCTAGCGCTATTGGTACCCCGGATGTTCTCGGGTTGGCCCCAGTATATCCCAAAAGCTTATGTTTCTCAGATATGTGTTGCTTTGATCCTCCTCAATCAGAAACGGGACGGCTGCGTATAGCCTGTGGCAGTGATTCTCGAAGGGTCGAGCCTGTCGGACATGTCCGCGCATACCCAAGCGAAGACAATTTACATGTTTGTCATATATTTGGCTTTTGGCCAACGTATCCCTACCAAAGGCTATAATAAGCACGGCACACGGTGGCGGAGATTGCCGCGCTGGACTTCATTGGTGCGATCGCACATGAGAACTCTTGACAGATCCGATCATGTAAACTTTGCGGACGAGATCTCTCAACAGATCCGATCGTATAAACTTGCTACGATCTATGCTTGATTTGTCTAGTGTGCTCAGCGTGAATCAAGAGCTCTTCATTGGCTTAGAGGCTGTCGTGTCCAACCAGACATCATGGTACTTTGGATCAAATTGAAGAGAGTGATATTGATATTCGTCAGATGCAATGATTACTGTTTCTCCTGTCTATTCAAACTCATTCAGACAAGAGATAAAGGAGCTTTCCGAAAGTTGGACTATTGAGGCATCGGATACCTCCGTTCCTCCAGTATTTCCTCATCTCTATGTGAGCACTGAGCAGTTCAGCTCAATCCACGAATTTCGAAGCTGAACTTCTCCGGTCAACATTATCTTACTTCACTGCTGGCGCAATATCGCTGTATTAGCAATTTAGATTAGCCTTTGGACATGAAGTCATTGAATCCTCGCTCTCCTTCAGCCGTACTCCGTACATCCCGTTTAGTCGATTTGAACCATGAAAACATCATCCTTACCTATCCCGCCTGTGTTTGATTGCGCCCCTTCTCCCCAATAGATAGTAAGTTACATCGTGATACACATTTACCCCTTGCACCTCCAGTCCAGAGAGCCCCTCGTCGCTGTATATCACCGATGCGAGTAATAGCCGCTCCTTCCAAGAATGCCCTCCAACTAGTTCCTACCCTCGACCTCGAGGGAGGTGGTTAGCTCGAAACTTATCTCTCGTAGTCTTTTGAAACAATAAACCACCAAGACGAATTCTTCATTACGCCTCTACATGCTCGCCTTTGCTTCTCGCTCTACCTAATACGAGATGTGTAAGCACGAAGCCTCCCTCAACGCCTACCCTTACATTGCCATCACTTCTAAACGTTACCTTCTATATGACTTGCATGCTAACTCCCCTCGTGCTCACTCAGCTCGTCACTCCTGAAATCATCTTATCAGCCTGGTTAAATCATATTCCATCCCCCTCGCGACTTGACCCTACTTGCCTCCACACCCCATTGTCACATCTCTTCCTCTTCATTTCTTTACCAATCTACAACTGTCAACCGCAACCGCTTAAAACCTGACCTAAAATACCACGACAGGATCGACTTCGATGACGACGGCGACTTCGAACTTCTATCAGACGATATCCGTCTATCAGATAGCCCGGGGATTAGGATAGAGGGCGGATGGTAGGGTTTGACGGAACGAGTGCATACCGCGCTTTCTGCCTGAGCCAGAAACAGCAATTCGCCGAAGCAAAAAGCAACGGAGGATGAATAAGATGATCCGCTTTCCCTGAGAGAAGAAGATCTGTATCCTCTGGTACTACTTTGCCTGGACAGCCACTGTCCAGATTCTACCTGGATTACTCGAAGTCAAGAATCGGAAATACAATGGGCCTCTCTACACTGGACAAGGATATTTCGTCATTGAAAGAACAGTCAGTCGATTCACGTCGGCCAATCCTCGGTGAATGGTCCGGCAATCCCAAAAATCTCAGTGAAGTGGAAGAGCAGAACGCAGTGGCACACGGCGACAATATCAACATGGCATCCAAGCCATTACGTATTTGCTTCGGGAAAACCCATTCAGAGCTCACAAATGGGAAGCATCATTTGCCCATTTCTACGATATTACATACACCGAGGCTAAAGATAACGCCTCTCTACACGAAAGTCCCCGCCTTCGTCGATTATTCAGCCTAAATGCCAGTGTTCAATCCTTACGCCAATTTGCCCAACCTTGCATTTGAAAGAGAGCAAAGTATACCTAAGGTGTAAGCTTGTTGAGCTTCATAGATAGCCCAATAGAAGCCTGGGCTCTTAAGTGTTCTCGTCTGAATTTCCTTTTTATGGATGTCACAGCCGCATATTCGGTCACATTGCTATTGGGAACCCTAGTGCCCAACCCTGGAGGAACTCTGCTAACATCGTCGTTATATAGATACCCTATTTTCGCGCTTGCAGTCGCTTGTTTGATCACGTTGCTGTGGCGAGCCCTAGTTTCCTTTACGAAGTGGCTCTACCGATGTCACTGTCACCATAGCTGCCCAGGTTGTTGCGTGTCAGTCACATTAGCATGACGAACGCTACCTAGTTCTAGTCTTCGCCAACATAAAAATGTTATAGTGGTCTTGCCCTATTCTTCCCTTCTTGCAGTCTCATTAAACACTAAATCTAATAGCCTTGGAAGGCTGATGGCCTCCGACTAAGTTTATGATGTTCCAACCTTGGTTGGCAAACCTATAAGATTCCAATGTACAGTATTCCAATGTACACAATAGGCGAAGGCGGAGTATCAACTCTAGGGCAAGAGCGATCAAGCTCGACTAGAACTTTCAGGCACGCGTCACTTCGACTTCGATTTGTTGATACCTCTCAGGCTGTTGTTTTCTTTTTCTTTCACGTCACATATTCACACCCTCGCATAATCGTTATCTATCTTTCCTGATCATTCACATCCTTTCTTTATCTCGTCTGTGATTCGAACAGTTGGATAGACGTACAAAAGCAATCTGGACAAAATGAGTCCCGTCAACCAAGAGACAAGCTCTGGCACTGTGCGTCGTCGTTTATACTCGCTATCATCGGTCTTTCGCCCCCAGGCAACCAAGAGAGCTAGGTACTTACATATAAAGAACGACCAAAGATGAAAGAGATAGCCTGCTAACCAAGACATCAGCATATCTGATGCAGTGCAGGAGGAGCCAACTTGCCTGGAAAAGATCCACTACCCTGTGTTTGATCCCCTGGATCCTCGTCACAACCCAGAGATACCGACCGTGCTGTGTCATTCCAATGAGCAACAAAGTTCGTCTTCGGGGTCACGCAGTCCAATGGCATGGGTCCAATCCCTCTCAAAGCGAACTCTTCATAGAGCTCGATCAGGTCTATTGGCATTGAAATCAGGGTTTAGTCACCATCCAAGTGACCGTCCAAGTGAAGAAGAGCCCCAGGAGAGAAGCTTTGTTAGCCCCGTTGCTCTCAGACGCGAAATTCAGCTTGAAAGACAACGCCACGCAATGTCATCCGGGGGGTACACTTCGGATACACAAGAGGACCCGAACTTTGGCGCCCAGCTATCTCGCATGGACCTTCCACCGTCTTCACCATCATCGAATGATGAAATGGAGCCTCTTGTCCGCGTCCAGTCTGTTTATCCGATGCCTGCGCCCAATCGATACGAATATTCTAGCCGCCCCGTAAGTAATGTCAGGGTAAACTCGACTTCCACACTAGCCAACGGCCGTGATCTTGACTTCCAATTTGCTGGAAATGAAGAGTTGGAGGCGAATATGAATTTTGAGGATCACTCTAATCACACAATTCCATCGACAGAAACGTATTTGATACAGCAGACATGGGGCGTTGCAATCTCTACCGACGAAGGGATTGAAACGTCCACCAAAGAACTGGCAGATCCTCAATCAGTTCCTGGAGAGCAGCAAGCAACAAATCTTCAGCAGCAAAATATCGGTCATGCAAGTTCAGATACACAAAACAGCGATGATCAACCAATTTCAGTTCCCATTTCGAGACAGTCTTCCGCCGAAGTTCGGTTTGCATTTCCAGGAATCTATCATGAGGCGCTCAATGAGTGGGCGAGACAACATGGTAGTCCAAACCTCAGTCGACACAGTCTTGATCTCATTGAATACAGTCCCAATCCCAGTCATCACAGTTCCAGCCCCATCCAACACAGTCTCAGCCCACACAGTCTCAGCCCACATAGCCCCAACCTCACTCAACACAACCTCAGACTCTATGAACAAGAAGAAATCCCGTGCGCTCCTCAAGAGCCATTCGACCGCATTGTACTTCAGGAAGATACACACAGCGGCCTGCCTCCGTATCCTGGATACGATGAAGGTCACATACCTTTAGTATTTTCGCAAAGTCCAATCACACATTCTGAAGAAATGCAGCCATTTTCCTATCCCAATCCCCTCAATTGTATCCCCAACCTGAATTCGGAAGAAATATGGTCGTCTACCTCCGAAAGAGCACCCACCCAGTGGTCAAGTGGAGAAGATTATTCAAGCCGTTACACACCTGCTGATACCACATCCCGAGATATCACATCAACGGAAATGACTTCAATGGAATCAACGACAACTGATACATGGTCTCCATGGTCCCCGATGGACTCCAAGGTCCTTTTCCCTAGCCCAGTGGAGGATGGAGATGAGTATTTCCTTGTTGACGGCAAAAGCAGCCAGTATCCCGACGGAGGCAATGAGCCAGTCAAATCCACACAGCATACCACCAGCAACTGTGATACTACTAGACCTCAAGGACCGACTGAGTTGATCCCCCCAGGGATCATGTCCCTACGACTCATGTCCAATGGTATTACCGATGCAGAATTGGAATTTGTGGAAGAGGATACAGATGACGAGTTCTATCCTGGAATTGTACAGCCAAGACAGTTTTGGTGAAATACCTCGTCAATACTCTAACTGAAGGGCCGCATGTCTCTTTTGACCAAATGTATTATTACCTGAAAGATGTTTTCATCGCAGTAGTTCATCCCTTCAACATATTCTCTGTAGACCTATTCTTTGTGCTAATATTCTAAGGGGGTTGTTAGGGGCTCCCTAGCAAGACGGTAGATACCTACAACCAAAGGGAGGTCCCTGGTACAATCCCCTATATAAGTTATAACCAACTCCAGTAGTCCAAGAGGGACGGGAAAGAGAAGTATCTCATCTATGAGTCTATCTAGGTAGTCATAAGTTTCCACTAGGTTGCAATCAATTTGCAAATAAGGAGAGATGGAGGTTATCGGTTTGTTTGCGTGGTCTCTTACTGCAAGCGCAAAGTAAATCTGCATTCATAATCGCATCTATACTTCATGGTATCACATATTTGAAGCTACGTAGATCACTGGATAATTGATCTGGCTAAAATATTCAAAAAATGGCATCACCACCAGCATTCAACGCCACTCCTGATAGAATCAACACCATAACTCAAGCCATACCCAAACCAACCTGTTCCTTTCTCTCCTGCCACACATTCTTACCCGAGCACGAGCAAACCATCTTATCATTATCCCACACACCTGCACTGCGCGCAATAACACCAACAAGGGTATTCTCATCCTCGCGCTTGAAAGGACCCTGCGTCCCCTTGGAAACCACCATACTCCGGCCAATAAGCTCCCAGATTGCCACAGGCCGGTCCAAGAACACACTACCCCGGCCCTTATTGTCAACATCCACGGTACCGAGAATGCCCCGGCACTCCTTGGCCGGGGCGACAGTAGCATCAGCGCCAAGCATTTTGGTCTTCAGAGACTCCCAGATACCACCCGTAGACTCGGCACCGCGGGAGATATCTCCCGCTTCACGGATAGTTGTCCAGTATTTGCCCGGCGCGAGGCCGTTGATTGTCAGGTCGATGAGGGTCATGTTCGGGGAGACCTGGACCATGCGCGCGAGTCCGCGGATGTTGTTGGAGACGGTCGTTGAGTGTGTTTCGAGGATACATACGGCGGAACCTGTTTGGTAATTTGTATCAATTGAGGTTGCTCATTTATGTCGCATGGGATAGTAAGTAGACACCGGGGATTCCATACTGTTGGTAGTACCGCTACCACGGAGGATGGCATCGCGGCCGGTGCTCTCAATCGCGCTTACGATGGAGCTGGGAGGGGCGGTGCCTTCGATGAAGACTAGCTGGTCTTTAAGGTTTGCTTCAACTTTATTGATTCCTGCCGCGGGGTCAGTTTGCGTGAAGGTTTAGATGCTCGCGTGAGATGACTACCTTCCAGGCTATTTAGAGAGCTGGATATAGAATTCACGCAGCCTTCACATGTCATTGGGACCGAGAAGGTCGTCTAGACATAGGAACCGCATTAGTACTGGCTGTTTGTGAGTCATGTCGCTCAGACAAGGCTGACCTGGAATGGTTCAATCATGGCGGGGAAGAGAGTATGTGCACAATTAAAAGCGAAGGATCTAAAGCAAGATAGAGAGAAAGATAATCTTCCAGAAGAGAAAGATCAGAAGGAGACTAAATATCAGAAGAAAGATGTGCAATGCGCTATACAAACTCAAGGCGGGGCGTTGGATTTCAAATCGAAGGAACTCGGCTTCTGACAAAACGTCATTCCCGAACCTTCTCCCTTCAACATTCCCTCACGCAAAATGTCATCCCGATGGGCAAATGACGATCCAGAAACAGAAGCAATTGTCGCAGAGCAAAAACGCGTCAAGGAACAAAGAAAACGCGCTAAAGCAGAGAAACAACGACTAGAAGAGGCCAAAAAAGCTCAAGCGCGCGATGCCAACGCCAATGGCGAGCTAGGCCCCCCAACAAAGCGACGAAGACTCTCCAACGACCCAGACGCTCATTCAGATGATGCCGAATTGCTGAAGATCGAGAAGGAACAGAAAAGCCAGTCGACTCTACTACGCTTTCCGGTTGGAGAATGGGGGCCCTGCAGACATGTGGATAACTTCGAAAGACTGAACCACATTGAGGAGGGCTCGTATGGATGGGTCTCACGCGCAAGGGACATTTCGACAGGAGAAATTGTCGCGCTGAAGAAGCTCAAGCTGGAGAACTCGCCGGACGGATTCCCAGTCACTGGGCTCCGGGAAATCCAAACCCTTCTGGAGGCGCGACATCAAAATGTCGTTTACCTGCGGGAAGTAGTAATGGGCAATAAAATGGACGAGTGAGTTCTCCGTGGTTGACACTGTATTGTCTATATATGCTAATCAATTGGTTCCGACAGTGTATTCCTAGTGATGGATTTCCACGAACACGACCTCAAAGCCTTACTCGACGAGATGCGCGAGCCCTTCCTTCCTTCAGAGATCAAAACCGTCCTGCTGCAGGTGATTGGAGGACTCGAATTCCTACATTCACAGTGGATCATGCACCGCGACCTCAAGACCTCCAACCTATTAATGAACAACCGTGGCGAGCTGAAAATCGCCGATTTTGGCATGGCCCGCTACTTCGGCGATCCACCTCCTAAGCTGACACAGCTCGTTGTGACCCTCTGGTACCGAGCGCCGGAGCTGCTCCTCGGCGCGGACAAATACGGCACGGAGATCGACATGTGGAGCATTGGCTGTATCTTCGGCGAGCTGCTCACCAAAGAGCCTCTCTTACAGGGCAAGAATGAAGTCGACCAGGTGTCCAAGATCTTCGCCTTGACCGGACCACCGAACTCAGAAACATGGCCTGGATTTCGTCTATTGCCCAACGCCAAGTCCCTGCGGTTCCCCTCGACATCGGCACCTTCTTCAGCCGGTAACCCGCCTCTGCTGCCTCGTTCCCGATTCCCCTATCTGACCAATGCGGGTTTGAGTCTCATGTCCGGATTGCTGGCGCTGAATCCAGCCTCCCGTCCTACGGCAAAACAGTGCCTCGATCACAAATATTTCAAGGAAGATCCGCGCCCAAAACCGCGAGAGATGTTCCCTACATTTCCATCCAAGGCTGGTATGGAGAAACGGAGGCGTCATCACACGCCTGAGGCCCCTAAACGAGGGCAGGAAGCACCCGAGCTGGACTTTGCAGGTGTCTTTGGAGGTGCTCCGGGTGGAGATACCGGCGAAGTAGGGGCTGGATTTAGTCTTCGGTTGGGATAATTGCTTTTTTCAACATGAAAGTAAATAATAACAGATTTTGTTTGATTGTATTTCAATCTATATTGTATAATAAAGTCTACCTTGAAGATATCTTCTGGCTTAGTACTGGGTGTCCCTTTAATATTTAATCAAGTAGAACCTTTGCCAATATATTTGAAAAACATCTAGCATAAAAATGACACAGAAATATAAAACAGTCTCAGGGCCAATGGCTAACTATAGAAATGTGGCTATGTATAACTACGGAGTAATCAAGGAGGTAAACGCGCTTGATAGTTCGGCTCCAAAGCTGATCAGCTCCGAGCTTCTTTTTTTTTCCTCCAACCTCTCAACGTCTGGATTCATTTCCTTCCATACTTTTATTTATTGATTTATCTAATATTATTTTTACGATGGCAACCGAACAGCCCATCTCGTTTGACGCCATCATTCAGGCTGGTAATTACTCCCTTGCCATCTGACATCTCGCAGAATCTGACCCGTTTTTGTCCACAGATCGTCAGAAGAAGAAGCAGGAGGACCTCGCAAACAAACTCTTGGGAAAGAACCGCAGATTAAGCGCGCCAGGCTCAGGTTCGGGCGCCGGCAAGAAAGTGCAGAATAAATCACAGAATACAAAGCCTGGAAGCCTAGCAAGCAGGGTCGGAGTAACCAAGGTATGACCATGGATGCGACCACATTTGAGGAACACTCTTTGACAATTTCTCGCATTAAAATTTAGCGCTCTGCATCAGCGACCGTGCAACCCAACAAGAACAAGCCTGCGCCCACCACGAACAACAATCGGACACACGGCAAACCTGGCAAGAATGATCGCGTGAATGCGGATCAGGCCCGGGCAGCTTTGCAATCCCAGAACGGCCAAATGAACACACGATCGGGCAACGTCGCGCAGAATAGCCGTCCACTCGGTGGCAGCAACATGACTATTAAGGGTGCTTCGGGTCCGTTCTTTGTCGTCGGGAGGAACTTTGCGCCGGGGACAACAGCGGCCGACATCCAGTCTGCTCTTGAGCCCATAACAGGTCCCATGCTCAGCTGCCAGATAATAGCAAGCCAGCCAAGTGTTACTGCGGCATTTGCATATGCAGATAAGACGGCCGCAGAGCTAGTTGTGGCCAACTTCCACAACCAGAGGGTAAATGCCATTCCCGTTTGATGATATCGCGAGATGGATGCTGACATAGGCTCTCTAGGCTGACGGGAGACTGCTCACAATGACCCTTAAATCGACGAAGCCCGCAACACAGCAAGACCCCTTCAGTGCGCTCCGAGCGCAAGCTGACCAGGAACGAATTCGAGCCCGTCGTGGCCCAAGCCATCTGAACGACCTCCTATCCGAGAACCGGGGAAACTCGCCGACTGGCCTCTACAGCGATGAGATGATGGTCGATGCGCCGGCGCGGAATACCCAGAAGAACCAGAACCAACGGAGATGGCGTCGTTGAAACGCATGGCTAGCGTTTTTGGTAAGGAGTAACCACTGCGCGAAGTGGTCGTGGAGATCGTGCTTCTTGCACTCTCATGAAATGTATGATATGGTCACAGCAGTTTATGGACATTTTTTTAGCATCTGGAGCAGTGTGTTTTTGCATCAGATAGCGGCGAACAGGACAAAATCGGACAGAATATTAATGTTTTATTGGCTTTTTTTCAACTTCTAGGTCAATCCGTTCCCATTTTATTTATTACTGTCGCTCCTCGCTACTTGTTTACACCCCCGAGAGGAAAGAAAAGAAGTCAAACTAAAGAACCAAGACAAATCTGCAACAATGTCCTGGAACATCACTTGTTCAGAAACTCCAAATATAAGAGATATATGTATCCCGGTCATCTCATGCCCCCAAGGGGCACAAGGACTAGACGTGACTGAAGCTCAATATAACCAAAAGAAAAGACACAAAACGGACAGAACAGGCAAAAAAAAAAAAGGAAAAACACGAGTATAATCAAGTAAGACGAGAATATATGACCAGGAATTGATCTCCAGCTCCCTATGTATGGTCAAACATTCCTTGAAGAATGATTGATCAAATAGGATCAGTGCATGGCGGTATTGCGTATGCTGGATTGCAAAGTGGCACATTTGCCAATATTTCGGGGAGGTCGGTTCCCACGTACATAGCTTCAGAGTTATTAGGCACACTCAAACAATATAGCATATGGTGTAGCCAGAGACCAGATAGCCGCAAACCCGTAGAAGCATTGCGGGGCCCACGGCTTATACAGGCTCGAATATCAGTCCATCGGGGGAGGAGTGGCTGATCATTGTGGAAGATGTTGACTTGCAATACCACATTATCTACCGGGACCTCACCAGCCGCTGTACCCATTCTTGTTGTACCAGTGACAGGCAGACCGGCGCCACTCAGTCGTTCAATGTACAGTCTATCGGACTGGTGGATCTTCATTGCTATAGCACCAGTATCCTCTATAACATTGAGGTGTACGGTATGTTGCCATGTGTTTTTTTGCCATGTGTTAGGATTTCGGATCGATACGATAAACTGTTTGATGTTAACATAGATTCTGAAATCTCACTTGGGAGGTCATACCTCATGCATGGCGTACCCTCTCTGGAGCGGGGGCATGTAGAAGAACAGATACATCGGTTCTGGTTTGTAGTCGTCCATCTATAAGTCAAGTTAGTACTGTATGCAGAAGGATATTTCTATATCCTCATGTTGGGCCGACTTGATATAACAAGAGATCTACGTATGCATGAGGAATAGGACTCAGAGCCGTTATGTATTCGAACTCACTCCTTCTACCCAAATACCCGCTGGGCCAAGCTGCCTACTAAGAGCGTAAAACTCTTCCATTTCCATCTTCTTGGGACCGCCAACCATTTTTCCGTGTGCCCAGTAAGTGACCTTCTCTTTATCCCAGACAAGGTGCCCGGACCGGTAGGCAGCCATGATGGCTATCACGTTGGGGGTATTTCCATTGTCATTTCCCAAATAGTTCTAAGGCCATTCTGACCCCTTCTGTAACCTGCGACCGACTAGGCTATTGTATAGGGGGTTGTAAATTGGCAATAATTGGTGGAGGTCGGCGGGGTGGTCATTTCTTGGCACTTATATATCATATCGCCAGTGGAATCCAGAAGGTTGGAGTCTTGAGTCACTTATTTTTTTATCGTATATATATGGAGAGCTGTACATACAAAGAACATTTTTCTGGTAAAAATCTTGACCTCTAATTACTTCATTCTTGAGGTCCAGCATTGCGGCGGAGAGAGTCGACCCCTGTACCGCGTAGTCTGTTCGAGGTAGGATTGATGCCTGGAATCGCCTAATATCTTTCGCGATGGTATCGACGGAGTGAACTTGCCTTCCGTCTGTCATTATTTATTGTTATGGCCCCACTAGCCGACGCATTTGGTGGTCTTCTAGCTTCTGGTATTCTGAAGCTAGATAGTGTTGGCTCTCTCTCGAGCTGGCGAATGATCTTCGCGATTGAAGGCATTATTACTATCTGCATTGGTATTATTTCCTTCTTCACCCTGACCGACAGGCCAGAGACAGCGCTATGTCTCTCCCAAGAAGAGGTCCCGAGTGAGAAGGGAGCGTGTGATCGTAACAGGTAGGGTTACTGATTGGGCGGGGATACGAGAAATAGGTCCGGCCCTACCTCGCGCGATGCTTTCTGTTCAGACTAAAATGGGATAAAAATACAGAGCCTAGCCAATATAAGATACTTCTCTTCTTTACCGACCAGATTGGAATTCCCACGATAGAGCGTATTCGAAATCATCTTTCCGAGGAATTTCAACATCATCTTTCTGGACGAGTCCAAATATTGATTTTTATGCAAATTTTCTTTGTTTGTATTGTGGCTAAACGCGATTCGGATGATACATAAAAGAAATAAGTCATAGTGCAGTGAAGGCAGTCGCAGAAGTCTAAGAGTGAAACAAGACACGTAACTAGTATATTTCAGTATCAAGTCAATTAAAAAAAGAAGAGAAGCTGTTCCACTATCTCTGGCTTTACTGCGGAGTGTCTCAAGAAAGTAATTGGCTACTATCTATAGCCCAGCCTTTTCTTTGTCTTTGAAGAGCTTCGAATCTTCTTTCTTGCTTAGGTTCTACCCCAGGTCAAAGCATTTCTTTGTCTTGCCGCCCACCTTGGATGCCAATGAACTTCGTCGTAATGATAACTAAACGATTTTTTATGTTTGGTGCTGATGCCTCGACTCTGTAGCTACCGAGTTATTTTTCCTTTACAGTTCCCTTTGTCTGATAACATCCGAAGGTTGATGTCCTAAGTTATAAAAGCCACCTGTTTTTCAAAATGAATATTCTCTCTTCCCTATCTCACAACTTAGCTGGTATAATTCCACATTTTCTTGTCCCTCTTCATCAATCACCCTACGTGGTGTTCATTCAGTATGCCTGTCACTCGCCAGAGAAGAAGATCTGATAAATCGGTCCTTCTGCCTGGTATTCCCATGGATGAGAAGCGATCTAGAGGATCTAGGGCATCTGGCTCTAGCCTCAGTCGTGTTACCAAGCCCTCTGCAAAGAAAGGGAACAAGGTATTCTATCTCCTTGCTCCTTGTATCATGACAATTGCTTACAAATTCGCCTTTGACAGAGGGTGCAAGATGCAAGTCTGCCCCATGTTGCACTTGCGAGCGACCTCCTCGCGCGTGGGGAAGGGCTACGTCGTCCCGGAACCCTTTCATTGCATGGTCAAGTTTTCAAGCCACCGAAAGTATAGGGACACCGTGACGCGCCTATAACCGATCCTAGCATGCTACCTAAAGGATGGTCTTCAAGCGAGACAGATCTTGCCGAAGAGTAAGACCCGGGTTAAATTTCTCTGTCTATCAACTCTTTGCTAACATTGTTGTGCTAGTGATGTCGACGGTCAAATTGAAAGATGTTACAGACGCATCGATGAGGGAATCATGCCTGACATTTTCCGGGACAGGTTGCAAATGTACCAAAATATCAAGCTGAGACAGACGTAAGGAAATCCTGCACTGTATACTGTTATCATGACATTGATTAACCTCTTTTATAGAGATATGATCAGCTCCGAGCCTAGGGGTCTTAGCTGGGAAGTCGTTCAACGCCTTGATTGTCTGAAGAAGGTCAAAACAAGCTTTGATGAGTTGCCACTCTCCCAGCGGAGGGTTCGCAACTGATCTTCAGCTATTTCTGCTTACACTGCCGCAGAAAGCACCAGGCAATCCCACCACTTGTTGGCCTAAATCGAGTTTGAAATGAGAAGTAGATGGAGAAAGCTACAGCGACCAAGAAGTATGAGTATTCAAGAGCTATACCGTCGTCACACACTTGCTACAGCAAGCGGACCTTAACCCTTATAAGTATTTCTATCCTTAGGGGAATAACCGGCATACCAATATACCGTGTTGACCCACATTGCTAGGCGAACCAGTTAGCCAGATAAACCAAGCTGATTTTCCAGGCAATCAATCTGGAGATAACTTACTCATGGCGTAAATAGCAAATGCTTCTGCGTCCTTGTGCCCTTGTGTATTGCCGTTTTTGTCAAGGCCGTCTGTCCCCTTGGCGATTCGACTCATACACGCAAGGTTCAGCGAATTCTGGGCTGGGCTAGTGCATTTCACGTCAACTGGTATCATGTCAGATATATCTCAAGGAGAGGGAGACTCGAAGAGAAGGAATGAGAAGGCTCACTCAGCGTCTTGCTTCCTCCACCGACGAACGCCTCCGCGTGCGTCGACTCGTGGATCACGGTTGACACGAGGAAGTCGGACAGCCACTTTATACCCCGGCCCTCCTTTCCAATGAAGTCAGGCTGAGCCAGCAGTTTCTCTATGGCACTCTTCTGGTTCGTAGTTGGGCTCGAGCCGATTTCAACATGCAGGTCGCGGTAGTGCAGACCGCTCCCTATCCGGCTAGTTTCGACCTCAGTCCATTTGTCGAACTTCAACGAACAGAAGACCATGGTCTCCTGAACTAGACCATAAATCGCTCCGTACACATACGCCTTGATTCCCGGAAGCGCGGGCACGGGGCCGAAGCGTGTCTGATCGGCCCCGTCCTGTAGTGCACAGATAGCTTGGTATGGCACCCAGATGCCTTCTTTATTCGGTGTACCTTTCGTTTGAAAGATCCAATAGACGTATGTCCCACCTTTTGCGAGAGAGGCTATATATTTGAGGCATAATTAGCAAGGGTTGAAGGTGCGGGTTTTTACCTCACCCTCGGATCGATGGACGGGTAGATGGATGGCCCTTACGGTTTGTCTTCCCGGTAGCTGATCAACATGTCAGCAGTTAGGATCGGGGATCCAGAAATCCAGGGAGGGATCATCACCTTCAGTGTATGTCAAACCCGCGCTGTCTCTCTCGGAGTACACATCGGCGTCATTGCAGTAGATATTGATATACGGGAATCCACCCCGAATCCAACGGACGGGCCGACCTGCAAGGTAATTTGCGTATTGCGATTGTATTGTTCTGGCCATGTCTCTCGTTCCCTTGAGCTTTTCTAGGCCGTTCTTGTTTCGAGGATCGTCAGGGCCAAAGTAGTGCTTTGTGATAAACATGACGTAGGAAGCGAACGCATTGTGTTCGTCAAAAGTACGCTGCGCTCTAGTCGCCTTGCTAGCCTTGAGGTTTCCGGAGCCGTCCTCGTTGTAGAGGCTGATGGCTAGCTCTAGATGGGCTACCATGTTGGATATCTGCCGCTATGTATCAGCATCATAGCAGTAGGGCCAGGATTTGGGTAACACTTACGATAGCGCTAGCATCTTGGATCGCCTGGGCGAGGGTTCCTGAGAAGTCGGAATTGCTGCAACCGAAGAAAACTTCCCGCTTCTCGATAGACCTACTGGATAATAGGGTTGCGGATGTTTCATTAAAGGAGACTTCCTTCTCCAGAGCCAGTGCTGCCAGTGCGGCAGAAAATATACCAGCCCATAAAGCAAGCCACCCAGAGAGGGAGATGAGATTCATGCCGACGATGATTTACTTCGTAGTGGCTTCCAGAGAGCCTTAGGTGATGCAACACTCGTACGGCACATGCAAGGTACCTTTAGAACTTTCTAAGGACAAGTTGAACGGGTCCCCGCTGAATTAACAGAATGAAAATAGGCAGACACCTACCTCCAACGAAGAAATAATTTTCAGGAGTGCGGGAAAACTATTCGAATATTTCAACATTACGATATCTAACCTCGGCCTCATGATGTCTCTGCGTGGTAGCATTCTCCTTCACTCGCGACCTGAACTGCGCACCAGGTAGAACAAAAAACAAACATTTGTTCGGCCTTGCAGCGTGGGAGGCTAGCTGGGAGGCCGAGCTTGATGCAACACCAACTATAACTAGTATAGATCTACTGAAATGAGAGCAGTCAGGCGTCCAGTGATGCAATCTACGTAAGACTACTATTATGCAAAGGAGGGGGTCGTTACATTCCGACGGAGCGGTGATATTTGAGATTATGTTGTACGCGAATTATGCTTATCCTTTCTAGTTCTGGTGAAAGAGAGAACAATTTTCCATTCAAGAGTGTCTGTATAGGGAAATCGATCATCAGAGCTGACCTCTCAGATGATCGACATCTATGCTCCAAATTTAAGGCTCGCAGCCTTATCCAAAGAGCGTATGTCAGCACTAATGCAGTAGCATTGTAGGGTGTCATGGGCGCCTGTTCAGCTGCAGGGGTCAAGGGCAGAGCGGTCCTGATATCACACGGAGCCGACAAACAAATGCTTGTTTATCGAGCTTCGCTACATAGACATGTCGATGCTCCCTTCGTTTTTCCCCCACCCTTCTCCTCCAACGCATGGCAACTGCCTTCCAGTTGCACTGTTTCCCCTGTCCTATCTTTTTGTCTTGAACATCCAAGATGCCGTGGACGATTCTTTGGACGGCGGTAGCACCGGTCCTCTGTGTATTACTATCACTCGGCACACCGGCCTCGGCTTTGAGTACCCACTCTGAACGCCTAGCTGCAGCTCTGAATGCCCCGGGTGCGTTCCAGTCGCAGCTCAAACCATGTCCAGCGCCGTGTGCTAGCCACGAGCCCCAGCACTGGACTGTCTATGCTTCCTTTGACCGGCTCTCCTTCTGCCATGAGCCAATTCTTTTCGATATCGCCATTCACACTCCTGTGAATGACTTTTCTAAGACGCTAAAGTTTCGCGCCTGCACCACAGGTGATGGCTGGGATGAGTCCAGGAATGCCGGTACAATTAGTGGAACGGTCTATGCGGGCCCCTCCGTTCGGGAGTCCAAGGTGACGCTACAGGTTGCACAACAGAAATCTGCAGGAGCAGCTGAAGGCACCAGTGAGGATGTAATCACCGTGCTCACGCAGGTTCAGGCATACCTCCACGCAGGGATGGACTGCACCAAGAATATTATGCTGGGTTACTACAAGGGGGTGGTTGTCGGCGTGTATGCCGGCCAGGCATTGGGTAAAGCTACAGCTTCATCTGTGATGGGCCAGGTCCTCTCCAAGTTCAAGGGAGCGGCTCCCGCGACCACGCTTACACAGCTCTGCGGTGATCAGCGTGACGCAGACCATGTCTTTGGTATTGCCACTTCAACCGTAGCGGACCTTTCTGCTGTGCAGGCCGCACTGGTATCATGGAGTCAAGGGAAATGTGAGAGCGGACTCGGCGACGCGACCTCACTCCCGAATGTCAGTATCTGGGAGGTACCGCAACATCCAGTCGGAAGGAACAATACCACAACTTCAGATCCTACCGGTCAGGAACTTGATGCGCCCCTCCTCGCTCGCACAGCCAAATACTGCAAAAAAAGGACGGTTGTCTCGGGTGACATCTGCCAGTCTCTAGCCAAGGCGTGCGGTATCACCCTCGACCAGTTCTACAAGTACAACTCCAAGGAAATGTGTTCGAACCTGAAGATTGGCTCGAGTGTCTGCTGCACCGACGGGTTCCTGAAGCCACAGCCTTACGATAACGGCACCTGCTATACATACACGACACAGACCGGTGATACATGCTACGATATCGGCCTTGCCTGGAGTCTGACGGCCAAAGACCTTGGGAAATTTAACGATGGCACCACATGGGGCTGGAACGGCTGCGACAACCTGGGTCACAGTCAGAACATATGTCTCAGCTCGGGACACCCCCCGATCCCGGCCGTTCTGCCCAACGCTATCTGTGGGCCGCAAGTGCCCGGCACGATCTTGGACAGCCCTTTCACCAACGCCTCGGAATTTGCCTTGCTGAACCCGTGCCCACTGAACTCGTGCTGCAACATCTGGGGCCAGTGCGGGATTGACTCAAGCTTTTGCACCCTGTCCACCGGCCCCACGCGGAATCCGGGCACATCGAAGCCGGGAATATACGGCTGCATCTCGAACTGTGGTACCGGCATTGTTAATAATCATGACGGTCCTTCGGGTGGCTACCAGCGCGTGGGCTACTATGAGGCGTTCAACTGGGACCGTAAATGTCTGCACATGCGTGCACAGTGGTCCAACACACTTGACTACACCCACATGCACTGGGCGTTTGGTTCTATTGGTGAGGACCTGTCTGTATACGTTAATGACTCGCACAGCCAGTGGTCCGGCTTTATGGATCTGAAAGACGTAAAGAAGATAGTTTCCTTTGGGGGATGGGGTTTCTCGACGGATGTGTCAACCTACGACATCCTTCGCAAAGCCATGGCCCCTGACAATCGCCACAAGTTCATCTCCAACCTCGTTGCCTTTGCCAATAGAACGGGTATAGACGGAATCGACATTGACTGGGAGTATCCTGGGGTATTGATAACCTTTTATTTTGCCCTTTCGGTGGTACGCAAGCTGCTGACAGTAGGTCTTGTCTCATCTAGGCGCCTGATATCCCCGGAATCCCCCCTGGCCTCAATACAGATGCTCCCAACTACCTAGCGACGCTCAAGGCACTACGACAGGAGCTACCAGACAAATATTCCATTTCCATTGCCGCTCCAGCTTCATACTGGTATCTCAAAGCGTTCCCCATTAGCGATATTGCGAAAATTGTCGACTACATTGTTTACATGGCTTACGATCTACATGGTCCCACCCCCCTCCCTTCCCCCTTCCCAATACCTTAGAGGTAGTCTACTAACATTTGACATTGATCTCCAGGCCAGTGGGATTATGGCAACATGTACACGCAGTCAGGATGCAAAAGTGGCAACTGTCTTCGCAGTCATGTTAATCAGACTGAAGTGCTTCTGGCACTTGCTATGAGTAAGAATCTGGCCCCCTTGTTCATCGGCACATGTAATTCTAGTTGAAGAAAGTTTTACTGATGTGCCCATCGGTCAACAGTTACCAAAGCAGGTGTGCATTCTAACAAGATAATGGTGGGTGAGTCGAGTTACGGAAGATCCTTCAAGATGGCCAAACAGGGTTGCACAGGACCAGACTGCTTTTTCACTGGCACAAATGAGACCTCCAATGCGAAGCCAGGTCGATGCACCGGTACCGGGGGCTATATCTCGAACGCGGAAATCAAGGAGATTATTTCGCATGGCGGTGAATCGGTCAAGACCTGGTACGACAAGGACACGGCCTCTGACTACGTAGTCTATGAGAGTGAGTATCTTATTTTTCCGACCTCTGCCATCATCCGCACTCAGAATCATTCGTCAAGGAGACCTTATACTTATGGATTGGTATACGCAGATGATCAATGGGTAGCTTACATGAGTTATAACACCAAGCAGGCGCGAAGGGACACATGGAAGAAACTTAATTTCCTGGGGACGATTGACTGGGCGGTTGATCTCCAAGACTTCAATGTGGCTGACACCGTCGGTCCTACGGGAGACTACAACAAGTCGTCGTGCATCAATGTCTTCGACAACATGATCTGGAACTGGGTCAACCCGGTCATTGATGCCCCCGTCGGGTGCACAAATCTTATCCAAGCGTCCCCATTGGCGACAACGGTGACCCGCACGGCATACACCACGATCACGCTGGTGTCCGGGGGCACCGTCAGCACTACCATTGTGTCTACTGCCTTCCTCGTTTCTGAGGTCGATTACCAGCCGTTTACGATCGCCTCCTCGGATACGGAGAATGGGACCATCATCACATACAATCCCATCCCGCGTGTGACGCCGAGCCCCATGGGGATTCAGGTGCCGAAAGGGTGGGCGATCACTTCGCCCGACGGCGAGGTGGATGGTCCGTCCACCACCACAGACTTGGTTGGTCTTCCCACCACCACCACCACCACCACCACCACCACCACCGATGCAGGAGGGTTCATAGTCTACATTACATGGCAGCCCACGGTAAGCTACAGCCTGCCATCATTCGTCACACCCAAAATCCCTGCACCCACCATCCCTGACGACGACAACTCTCCCACCCCCATACCTGATCCAGGAGTAACCGACTGTATCGGTGATGCCTGCACTAAGGGGCCTGATTGCACCGACAGCGACTGTACACGCGGTGGAGACTGTACCGGCCCCGGCTGTACCCGCGGCGGCGACTGCACCGGTCCAAAGTGCGTCCGGGGCGGAGTATGTACAGGCCACAACTGCGAGGAAGGGGGTCGCTGCTCAAGCGATCACTGCGTCTCGGGTGGTGGGTGCTCGGGTGCCAAATGCAACAAGGGGGGCGGATGCTCAGGTGCCAAATGCAACAAGGGTGGCGGCTGTGTGAAAACCTTACTGAATAATTGCAGCCCGGGACCCTGCGTCGGTCCGTCTTGCATTGATATGAGCTGTCCGTGGTGCGACAACGGTATTACCATCACGGTTCAGCCTGGGGGGAATCCTGCGCCTACACCCAGGCCTACCTGTCTGAACAACTGCCCGACATTACCTTCCTGCGCGGGCGGCGCCACATCGTGCAACGAGCCGTGCAACATCAATCGCTGCCCCGCGAACAGCATGCCGACCGGAAAGGCCTGCACGAGCTTCACCACTGCCAGTGACTGCACGGTAATTATCAGCAGCACGGCAGTCCATACCACCCCGACGAGGAGCTTCTCGACCACCACGCGAACTCGTTGCGAGACGGTGATCGACTGCGACGTGCAAGATATGACAGTCACAACCACCATCACCACCAGCGAGGTCCCGGACGCAATTGCCTCCCCAACGGGGATATACGACTACGAGAACGACTCTCACTATAATCAGGCTGTGTTTGCAGCCGTTGCATCCGACTACGATGAGTGGGAAAGGACCGCAGACACCACCACGACCACGACCACGACTACGACAACCAGTAGCACACCTACGACTACCACTTCAACCTCAAGTCCTAACCCTAACTACCCGAATGAGTTCATGATATTGAAGTACGAGGTTCACACGGTATACTTTGATTTGAGTGAGAAGCACTCCTACTCTTGGTCCGGTGACTACTACGCCTACAATCAGGATTCGACAACCGAGAACGTATGCACCAACTCCTACCGTGTAACTGGCCCTATCGACGCGGGCGCTAGTGATGATTATCCTGCATCACTGGGTACTTTTGATCTCCCTGCACAGTACACGGGCTGCAAGTACTCCGGAAGTACCGACTCTGTAGGGTCGGTTACATGCGGCTCAAAAACCTTCTCGTGCAGCAAATTCCAAGATTATGACGGGAAAACCGCCACGTTTGATTGCGGTAAGACTACAGCCGATGGTGGTAGTACATATATATACCATTACTACTATGAGGCGATCCAGTGTGTCATCACTTACTAAATGATCCCCCCGGCGTTGTGATATCAAAGAGGATAGGGGAATTCTACAATAAAAGAACAATTATAACTATTTGCGTTATTATATGTGTTTTTCAAGGCTCAAAGCAGATCTTCTGTTAACATCTCCGAGTTTCAGAAGACAAAGTTTGAAATTAGCTTACAGTGTCAAAACTAGAGCTAGAAAGGGCCAGCGGCTATATAAGCCTAAAACTCATGCTTTTCCCTTTGCATTTTGGACGATCGGTCTGCGCTCTGAATAAAGCCGCACTTCGTACCCGCATTTTAAGAGCCTCCCTTCACGTGGCTTTCCCTCTTGCTTTCTTTTAAAGCTCAGCTACAGGCGACGCCCTAGAGGATTTCTACGGATTACCTGGATGGGACAAAATTTCGAGCCCACTTATCTCGGTGTACAATAGATAATACTAATTAGCTAGTTTGAGGATAGATAGACTCGGCCTCTTGATTGAATCTGCCTATGTATACTATTGCTAGTGGCTAGTTACAGCTAGTACTGTGCTTATTGATATAGTCTTTAGGGCTTGGATTTCCGAGCCATACCATCTTAGGACTAGCGGCCGATAACCGTCCGATAAAGATATGATCACGTGCAGTGGAGCTTCCGCGGAGAGATTGAGAGAAACATCTCGACTTGGCGCAAGGCAATAGAAGGAGTGTTTGGCCCGGTCATTTTGTTTACCTGCCGCAAACAGTTCCATTGTTGTATATCTGATGATACGAATAATTACTGCCCCCCAAACCCGAGCCAAGAATGAACCAGACCACGAGGCGCGTAGCGTCGTACGTCCTCTGTAGACCTCGCAACCCAGTACTTCTGAGATGCCCAGGGAGATGGAACTCCACATTTGAACAGAGAGAATGGTCCACGCCGCTGGCAAAAACATTAGCCAGTGTCATGAGGGTAAATATGCACTTAGCTTTAACCTCTCTGCTCTTTTGCTGATCATTGACACCGCAAATTAGGTCACAGGTCCCGTACCAATCGCGGCGTTCATGCGTCAGGTATTGACTTCCCCAGATGGCGGATATTATACAACTCGAGGGGAGGGCGGAGGTGTCTTCGGCAAAAATGGTGATTTCGTAACGTCGCCCGAGATCTCGCAAGTCTTTGGAGAGTTGATCGGTATATGGACTATCGCGGAGTGGATGGCGCAGGGGCGGACAAAGAGTGGTGTTCAGCTGATGGAGGTTGGTCCAGGAAAAGGAACTTTGATGGATGATATGCTACGGGTGGGTAGTTGCACTTATACCTGTCTTCCTTTTATAAGAAAGAGCTCATTGGACTGACCACGATTTCTATAACCAACAGACTTTCCGAAACTTCAAGAGCTTTTCTTCGAGTGTTGAAGCTATTTACCTTGTGGAAGCTAGTGGAACTCTCCGAGAAGTGCAGAAGCGGTTGCTGTGCGGCGAGAAGGCTGTGATGGAGGAGACAGATATCGGCCATCGGAGTGTGTGCAAGTACTTCGATGTACCCATCGTCTGGGTGGAGGATATTCGTCTTCTACCGCATGGTGAGTGATGCTTTCAATCCGGTTTTACCCTTTTGTCTGATGCTGACCAATGACATCGGCGACACAGAGGAAGGCAAGACACCCTTCATCTTCGCACATGAATTCTTCGACGCGCTTCCAATTCACGCATTCGAATCTGTTCCACCATCACCAGAGAACCAGATTGCCAACGAGCCAAGGAAGATCATGACTCCCACTGGCCCAGTAGAACTACATAATCCGCCCAAACACGCAAACACCCCGCAATGGCGTGAGCTAATGGTGACATTAAATCCAAAAGCCGTGGAAGAGAACATAAAAGGAGAGCCCGAGTTTCAATTAACCAAAGCCAAAGCTTCCACGCCGTCATCGCTAGTGATCCCGGAGATCTCCCAGCGTTACCGAGCACTCAAGTCGCAGCCAGGCGCGACCATCGAGATCAGCCCCGAGAGCCGAATCTATGCTGCAGACTTTGCGCGCCGGATCGGTGGTGACTCTGCTTCTGCGCTTGCTGCTAAAAAGACCTCTCCCTCTAGCCCACCGCCGTCATCTCAGAAAAAGACTCCATCTGGCGCAGCCCTGATCATGGACTACGGGACATTGTCAACCATTCCCATCAACTCGCTGCGCGGAATCAAAAGCCACAAGAAGGTGCCACCACTCTCGGAACCGGGGCGTGTGGATGTCAGCGCGGATGTGGATTTCACTTCGCTGGCTGAAGCGGCCATCGAAGGCAGCGACGGCGTCGAGGTTCACGGTCCTGTTGAACAGGGTGATTTCCTCGCAGCCATGGGTATTGAGGAGCGCATGCAGCAGTTGCTCCGTAAGGTGCAAGATGAAGAACACAAAAAGACACTAGAGACCGCCTGGAAGCGATTGGTTGAGAAGAGCGGCGGATCAATGGGACAGATCTATAAGGTCATGGCCATTATACCTGAAAATGGAGGGCAGAGACGGCCTGTTGGTTTTGGAGGCGGCATTCAGATGTAACCGGCAAGTATAATAGACCCAAAGCCATCTCATGTACAATAATCACATCTTTCATCAAATAGAATCACATGGACTCGCCGAACATACAGAAACAATCAAACAGAGCTCGTCGGCCCCAATATCCCAGAATAATAAAAAACTAAAATGTAACCATCAATGCATCTAAGTGGTATCTCTCATATCAAGTTCGTTAAGTCTCATGAAAAAAGCAGATGCATAAAGCGGCCGTAACCCCCACCATCCCAAAAGGGCCAATTCAGTATTCCTCCCAGATATCCGCAGCATAAGCCGCAGTCAGCTTAGTATCATTGCCATACTTCTGCTGCCATTCCACAAACCCACCCTCGAGCACAAATACTTGCTGCTTCTGGCTCTCTTCCGCACCAAACATGCTCTCGCGCTCTCGCAGATAGCGAAGGGCAGCAGAGGGGCCACGCTGCTGGCTGAGTGCACAGTGGAATACAACCATTTCCTTGTCTTTGAGAGTGCGGATAAGCTCTGGCATGCGCACGTCCAGTGTTAAGCTCGGGACCCAAGTTGATGAGTGGATATGGCCACCAACGTGGTCTGTTCCAACTGTCAACTGATAGTCTTTGATTTGACTGTATGGCAAAATAATGGTTATTTACCTGAGTCTCGGACGTCGACAATCGCCAGGCTGCTTGGTTCGCCAGTTGAGAGCAGTGTCGCTAGAACATCGCGGCCCATGCGGGGGAGAGTTGCGATTGAGATGGATGACATTTTTTTTGTCGAACTCTGTAAACTGTATATATAAAGAGAGCTATTCGAAGTGAAACGAGGGGGATATGGTAATTTTACAAGATTCCCAAGATTGCAGGTGTGATATTTACGATCTCGAGAAAAATGACTCTAAAGCACACGACACGTGACCTATAATTTCCTTTCCAATCGGGAGACAATGATTTTCCGTCACGGGAACTTCGAGCACCTCCGACCCTGCGCGTCCACCTCGATCAATCTTTCCTTCCCAAGGCCAGGAGACAGTTCAATCCACCTCCATATACCTGCTGCCCTGACACGAGCGAGTCCAATCAAAATGGACTTCCGCCTCCTAGCCCGCAGCCTCCGCGCCAGGCCAACACCATGGCTCCAACAGCAGACCCAGCTTCACCGCGTCGCCTCCCTCGCGAACGGAGTGCGCTACAATTCCTCCGCCTCATCACCAACCCCACCCTTCAAACCCACATCTCCCACCGACCAGCCAAGCACGGCCCCCGAGGCGGCGAAGCAAGCCCAAAAGCCGACCTCCGAGCCAAGCACAGCCGCCCCCAGGGCCGCACAGCCAGCCCGCAAACCGGTCTCCGACTTCGACGACATCCTCAGCAGACTCGACCTCAGTAAGCCCCGAGAAGCAAGCAGCGCCCAGCGTCGGATCTTCTCAGACTCGCTTTCCAGGGCTGTCGGCGAAGGCGCACAGAGCAGCTACCGGGCGCGCTCGAGAGTGCCTCTCCCTTCACGCAAGGTCGAGCTGAAGCTCGGGCCGACGCTTGGTCGACAGATTCAGGTTGAGCCGGAGCGTGGTACTGATCTCGGTGCTGCGCTGCGCAGGCTTCAGGCTACTATCTCGCAGAATAGCGTTCGGCATGATGCTCACGAACAGAAGTTCCATGTGAGAAAGGGTATGGTGCGCAAGCAGAAGAAGATGTTGCGGTGGAAGAAGCTGTTCAAGTTTTCGTTCCAGGGCACTGTGAAGAAGATTCAGCGTATGCAGGCACAGGGTTGGTAGTTTTATGCTACTCCTTTTGCTTTGGGCTTTTGTGCTGCGGCTTGTCTACTCGGCTTGTATGTATATACTGAGAAGGCTGGTGTGGGTGATGGACTGAGTGGGCAGAGTGGCCTTGGCCTGAAAATTGGTGTTTTCTTTTGTTACTTGTACAACTATTATCTAGGTACTTGATTTTTCTGTTGAATTTGGCTCTTGCATTAGATATGGAATGAATGCATCGGATTTGTTTGACTCGATTACTTGGGTATAGCATCATTATATGTAAAGCACCGGCTTTTTGCTAGTGGTCAATTCTGCCTCTCAAGTTAGGTACACTGTACATGTCGTAAGCGCTACACTATATGTACCTAGTTCCTCCCAGTTCTCAATATTAATCCCTCTTTCCAGTTGGCAAGACATATCCACTTCCAAGCCCGTTCCCATTGCCATTGCCAATAGTAGGGCCGGAGTAACCACCATAGCCATTGTTCTTCCCCCCATTGCCAAAGGTAACACCAGGACTCTTCGCTCCACGGACGGGGGTCGCACCCAAAAGCCCATCTCCATGCCAAGCGGATCGCCCACGCCAACGCCCACCATTGCGCTCCCAGAAAAGCGCAACTAAAGCGCCAACAGAGGCCGCCATAACAAAGAACACCAGCTTGGAAAAGAAAGACCCAGAGCTCTTCCCAGACCCAGTCGCCAAAGCCAGCCACGATTCCAAAGCAGGCCGCACCGGCCACCCAATACTGGCACCGCCCTCCAACCATGCAACGTGGAAAGAGAAGGTAAGCGGCTCCCCACGCACAACCTTAGTGCCATGCCCAGCAGTCCACGGCTCGCGTGCCGCCTGAGCAAGGGCAACAGGCTCCTCGTCCTCGTCGAGCTTGGCATTCTTGCCGGTGTTGTCGAACTCGGGAGTCGAGTATGCAACACCGCCAACCACGAAGCCAGGCTGCAGAGACTGACCACCGCGAGTTTTGGTGTTTTGTTCTGCAGCCGCGTCCGAGGCCATGTTGTGCATTACGACGTTCATATCCGTCCAGATGTGCAAATGGCTCAGTTGGAGTGTGCCCTGCAGCGCGATTGTGAGAGGCGTGAAGGGTGGCCCGTTGTCGGCTAGTGCGGAGAGGGTGTCTGCTTCGCCTGACTTCTGGTCCGAGTCTTTGTCCGCGTGCTCTGCGCTGGTGGATGGTGTCAGCGGCGCTGTTGGCACGCGGCAGCTCATTGGTACATCCGAATGGACGTAGAACTCGAGGAGGTGGTACATCTCATCGGAGAGGGAGTCGATGGTGCATGTTATTGTTTCAGATATGCCGTAGTGGAGAGAGAGAGGGCGGGCGGTTTCGTTGCAGGTCACGAAGGGGACGTATTGGAGTTTGCCGAGATTGTCAGTGACCTGGATGTTTTCGTAGTTGCTATTAGCTTTGTGTTTCCTGGTAGTCTGCGCTATTGTCTTCGTGTCAGGAGACGGTAGGCAGACTGGTGGCGCTTACATGTTCTCCTTCCCTGCAGGTGTAGAACGAGCAATGGTTAGCCGTACTCTACAGCTTGATTGAAGAGTGGTCTCACATGGTTCGATTCAGACATGACACTGGGATATCCTCTCTCAATTTGTATCCGTCGCTGTTGTCATTGGTGCTCCCCGCAAGTGCGTTGGTTGGCCACAATGCGCCTGTCAAAGACAGCAGCGCTACTGCTGCGGAAGACGGGCTCAATTGACGTAAAAGAGACATTGTTGCTTTTTTCTCCAATGATTTAAGGAGAAAAACCGCCCCGCGTCGGCAAGTTTCAGTGTTCGAGGATTGCGCAGGAGTGAAGGACGGAGGTGTACCCGCGTTGCGGAGTTGCGGACAACAAAGCGGGTTTCCCTACGATTTCCCCTTGCTGCTACTTCCAACCACCTCCCTACTTCTAATTCTTTCATATCTAACACCGAACGTGTTTCGCATTCCATTCGAAAGCTTACTTGGTAACGGAATTTTTGGGAATCATTCATTTCTTTTCAAAGGAAAAATATGTGGAAAATCGTTGCTCGTCAAAACTACACATCCCACAGTGCTTCATGAAAGACTAAAACACTCTAAGACAGCTTGGCCTTCTGCTTGAAAGCAAGCAACAGACCACTGGTGGAGCTGTCGTGGTCAGCACCCTCGCCCTTGGTCTCGAGCTCCCTCTGGATGTTCTTCGCAAGGGCCTTGCCCAACTCGACACCCCACTGGTCGAACGAGTTGATGTTCCAAATGGCACCCTCGGTGAAGGTGACGTGCTCGTAGTAAGTGATCAGAGCACCCAGGGTAGAGGGAGTAATCTTCTGAGCCAAAATAGAGGTGGTGGGACGGTTACCCAGGAAAGTCTTGTGAGCAACAAGCTCCTCGGCAGTGCCCTCGGCCTTGACCTGAGCAGGGGTCTTTCCAACCATCAGAGCCTCGGATTGAGCGAGGAAGTTAGCAGCCAGCATACGCTGGTGCTTGCCACCCTCGACGGGGTTGTGCGACTCAGCCGCCATCAAGAAATCGGCCGGGATGAGCTTGGTGCCTTGGTGCAGAAGCTGGAAGAAGCTGTGCTGCGCGTTGGTGGCAGGCTCACCGAACAAGATAGGTCCAGTGGTATACTTGACGTATTCACCGGTGCGAGTGATGGCCTTTCCGTTGCTCTCCATGGACAGCTGCTGCAGGTAGGCGGGGAAGCGGTGCAGGTACTGGTCGAAGGGAGCGACCAGGTGGGTTTGAGCACCGAAGAAGTCGCTGTACCAAACGCTCAGCAGACCACCGAGAACGGGAATGTTCTTCTCGAGCGGTGTTTCCCGGAAGTGCTTGTCCATGGCCTGGGCACCAGCCAGGAACTGGTGGAAGTTGTCGTAACCGATGTACAGAGCGACAGACAAGCCAATGGCACTCCATACGGAGTAACGTCCGCCCACCCACGACTCGAATCCGAACATGTTCTTGGCATCAATGCCAAACTTGGTGACCTCGGGCTCGTTGGTCGACAGAGCCACGAAGTGCTTAGCAATGTGTGAATCATCCTTGGCAGACTCGAGGAACCAAGCCTTGGCAGTGTTGGAATTGGTAATGGTCTCTGCGGTAGTGAAGGTCTTGGAGGCAATCAGGAAAAGGGTGGTCTCCGGGTCAGAGTGCTTGAGCGCTTCAGCGATGTGTGTGCCGTCGATGTTGGAGACGAAGTGGAGCTTAATGTCGGGGTGGCCGTAAGGCTTGAGAGCCTCGGTGACCATTACAGGGCCGCTAGGTGCAGATGTCAGCTACAATTCCTGCTTAACCAAGGACGAGAAAGCTTACAGATCGGAACCACCGATACCAATGTTGACGATGGTGTTGATCCTCTTGCCGGTGTAACCCTTCCACTCGCCGCTGCGGACCTGCTCGGAGAACTCCTTCATGTGCTCCAGCACGGAGTTGACCTCCTCGACGACGCTCTTTCCGTCGACCTGCATGGGCTCATTGGCAACATTGCGCAGAGCAGCGTGGTAGACAGCACGGTCCTCGGTGAAGTTGATGTGATCACCACGGAACATGGCATCACGGAGCTCCTCGACATTGGCCTCCTTAGCGAGTTGGACCAGAAGAGAAACAGTCTCCTGGGTAAGGAAGTTCTTGGAGAAATCGAAGAGGATCTCTGTGTTGTCTACGGTGTTGGTGAACTTATGGCTGAAGTTCTGGAAACGCTTTGGGTCCTTCTGGAACTGATCCTTAAGAACTAGGTTACGTCCCAAGGTGGTGTGGTGCTCCTGGAGCTCCTTCCAGGCGGGAAGGTCGCTGGTCTGCGAAAAGCCGGGCATGATGACGATGAGGGGTTCTATAGACAAGAGGGTCAGTGCGGGGCAAGTGAAATATGAAGGTAATGTCCAAGTATGTCAGGTTTATGATATAGAATGAAACTTATAAACATACATTGAAAGTAGAGTGGATGATAGAGAGGAATGAAGAAACCAAGGAAAGGCAGGAAAACTAATGGCGTCAGTCGCATCCGGCGCGTTGGGGTCCGAGGGGGTCGTGGGGCAACATCATCATTACCGCATTCGGCTGTTATTTCACTTGTTTTCTTTATTAAAGAGGTTTTGGTTGTTTGACTTGTTTTTATCTAGTTTGCTGCTGGAATTATTCTTCTTAGTACTGCTATTATCCTTCTCATTGGAGCCTTTCACCTAAAACCTCTCCTTTTGTTCTCCGCAGGTACTGAAAATGTATACGGAGTACCCGGTATACCAATTCGGACACCTGTAATTTCGTACTCCATAGGCTATTGCTTTTACTCTTCTGGGACCAATTCGATTCCAGCGCGTTTAATTGTATAGCCGGGCATTGGAAATTGAACGGCTATAGCTTTTTTGTAGCTAAAACAGTCCTATTCTCAAGGAAACTAATGTGTTACTCTTGATAAGATGATACTAGTTACTACTGCAAGTCTACTCCGTATACTCCGTATGCATTGCAATATACCTTCCAACCCTCCAAGGGCCGGATGCATGGGAATTTCCAATGCTCTCTGTATTGTTTTGAGGGCTAATAGAACCTGTTCATAGAGGATATGCAAAAAGTACTCCTACAAGACATAACATGAATAGATTCGCTGGACGGCTAAACATGGAACGTGCACGGGCCAATAGAAAATTCACCGCCCATGTCACCGCCCGAGCTTTTTTGTTGGCAGCTGATAGTTATCGGTTTGAATTGCGCCTTGATCAACCTCACTTTCTTACAGGTGATACGACTGGCTTGCATCATGTACAATCCTTACCAAGGTGAGTGCTATCTTCTCTTTGACCTTGATAAAGGTCTTGATGCTTCGGAAAACCTAAAACTAACTCTTACCTAGCTCCGGGTCTTTATGGACGCGCGCCTGACTACGGTGCCTATGGTGCGCCTCCGGGCATGGGTGAGTTCACTCCTTTCGCGCATTAATGTTATTAACAATATATACTGACCAGTCTCAGCCCCTCCTCCAGGAATGGCTGCTCCAGGCACTGCTGCCCCCCTCGGCATGCAGCAAGCAAATATCCAGCCTGGTCGTCCAGGAAGCTTCCCGCCCAACTTCCAACCGCCTATGAATATGCCAAACATCAATTTCTCTGCGCCGGTGATTCGCTTGGGTACTTCGGGCCCGAACAAGCCTGCAGCTCAGGAGAATGGTCGCGAACGGGGACCCGATGCTCCTGGGCGCCGCGGTGGTCTGGGGTCGATGGGAATGGATACCCAGCGCCATCATGGTCGCGAGACCATGATGCAGCTCCAGCCACCTACACGCGACGAGGTCGTGCGCACCATTTTTATCGGTGGGATTACAGAGGGCGCAGGCGGTGATGATGGCATTGAGCGCATTCTACGATCTACTGGTATCTTGCGTCGCTGGATTCGCGCGACAGATGCTGATGACAAACCTTGCCGGTTTGGCTTTGCCGAGTATGATGACCCGGAGAGTCTTGAGATTGCGGTTGAAACCCTGAAGGACGTGGAAGTCCCGGTCAAGATACAGGTACCCCTCGCCGAAGGCGATGAGGAACAAAAAGTCGAAAAGAGCAAGCTTCTAGTGCGTTAAAATTCCCTCCCTATCCGCAAATCTGACTTCTAACTTGTCTACTAGGTCGTCGTCGACGAAGGTACCCTCACCTACCTAGAGCAATTCGAGTCTAGCCGAGCCGAACAAGACCCCGAGGAACGCCAGGCACGTTTCACCGCTGCGCGCAACAATCTGAACAAAGTCTTGACAAGCCTCTTCCATCCCACAGCCCCGCTGACAAAGGAGGAGATATCGGCCCTTGATCGGGAAGGCGACACGGAAATGAAGGACGCCGAGCCTGCAAAGGATGGGGAAGTGGTCACTATTCCCATCACCATTGAAGATGAGCTGGCCGATATCCCCCCAGAAATGCGCGCCAATGTGGCCAAGGAGATTTCGGCTTTCCGTGAACGAAGCACCCGCCGCGACATCGAGCGTATGAAACGCGAGGAAGAGATCGAGTCAATGGAGCGTGCACGCAACTCTGGCTCTCGGATCAATCGACTTGTTTCGCCCCCGGCATCCGCTCCTAGTGGCCCTGCTGCCGGTATCAACGGTATTCCCTTGGGCCCACGGGATCGCAATGTGATGAACGCACCTTCTGGTCCGAGGGCATTCGGTGTGCAGATTCCTAAGGATTATCAGAAGGGAGTTGCTTTTGTCAATGCCGATGCCCTCAACGGTGACGACAACTCGGATGCTAGCGACGAGGAAATTGAACGCCGCCGACAGGATCGGCTCAAGGCTGAACAAGAGAAGGAATTCTCAGACCTGGAGCGCCGCTGGCTTGGCCGTGAACGCAGCCGAACCGCAGCCCTGGAGCGAGAGAAGAAGCGTGAGGATGAGGAAGACGGAAAGTTGCAAGCTGCGCACGATGAGATGGAAGCACGACTTAACGCCTGGAACGATGATGTCGAGGACACCCGGAAGGCAGTCGATTACTACGCAGATCGCGGTACCTGGCTCCGGACCCGTGCAGCCTTCCGTTCTCGTGAGGCCCATGTTGACGATGCCGATCGCGCCGCTGAGGATCGCGAACGTGTGCAATCCGCCAAGCAGCAGGAGCAGGCTCGCGGCATGGCCGACGACTTCCTCGCTCGCCAGGCCAAGGAGCTCGAGACACGTCCCCAGGAGGCACCGCGCGAACCCCAGCGCTTCAAGCTCTCTCTTGGAGCTGCCGCGCAGAAGGCCCAGGCCGCAACCAGCCGGCGCGCAGTGGCCGATGTGGAAGGTCTGCTGGAGGACGAGGAAGAGCCTGAGACAACAACCCGTCGGCCACTCATTCCGATCAAATTCGACTCGGCGGCCGAAGCTGCAGGTCTCACTGACGAAGAACGTGCTCAGGCGGCCCGTCAACTCGCAGCAGAGATTCCGGCTGAGAAGGAAGGCCTGTGGAACTGGGCAATCAAGTGGGAATTTGTGGACGATGCTATCATCACCGACCAACTCAAGCCTTTCGTTGAGAAGAAGATCGTCGAATATCTTGGTGTACAGGAGCAAATGCTTGTAGATGTGGTGGAGGAACATGTGCGGAAGCATGGATCGCCCCAGGAGTTGGTGGAGCAGCTGGCAGAAGTGAGTATTTACCCCTTGGTCTTCTTCTTGACACAATTTACTGACCTCAATCCCCTATCTATAGGCATTGGACGAAGAGGCTGAAGTCCTCGTTCGCAAGCTTTGGCGCATGATCATTTTCTGTTCCGAGAGCGAGAAACGAGGCCTGTCCTTGTAGGTTGCACATGAACGACAGGTGTGCCTGATGTTTCCGGGCTTCACTGAGATACGAAATACAACATGTACACAAAGGAATAGCTAGTGGTTGCATGTACAATGCCAAATTTTTTGAAATCTCATACTCTGGGGGTTTTCAACAGGATCTGGTCTAGTCTGCAGGTAAACAAGCTCCCACGTAGCTTGGGGTAAGTCACGGAGCAGCTCCGAGTATATATCTGGGCTCTGATTGGTGGAATGACATATTTTCCCGGCATTTACAATTTTCCACCAATAAGATCGGGTCTGCTGCAAATGACTAGGGAGGAGAGAGGGGTGCGGGATAAACTGGAGATGGCGCGGGGGAAGATTGTTGCTGTATATACGGAGTAGGATCTCGATGGGCTTTTGTAATCTCTTCTCGGTGATATTCTTCGTCTCTTACTCTTCCTTGTGCATCTTTGAGCTGCCAAAAAAGGGTAGAACCGACTTTCGATTCTATACCCCGGATATATACACCCCGCATTTCAGGATTAACCACTGTGTTTCTCTAGCACCGACCTGCGCCAGCAATATTTCAAGCCATTGACAGAAGTAAAGCCTATTTCTATCACCACAAGTAATAGCCATCCACAATGGTTAAAATCACTGGCTTCACCACACGGGACGTGAGGTTCCCGGTACGTCAATCTTGCAGTTCCATATACCCAATGCACTCAATACTGACAAGCCCACCATAGACCTCGCTTGATAAGACCGGGTCAGATGCGATGAACGCAGCAGGCGACTACTCTTCCGCCTACTGCATCATCACCACAGACTCAGAACACTCCGGACATGGCATGGTACGTCACACCATATCACCAACTCACAGCAATCCAATTAACCCAACACCTGCAGACCTTCACAATCGGCCGCGGTAACGAAATTGTCTGCGCAGCAATCTCCCTGCTCGCCCCAATGGTCGTTGGCAAAGATCTAGACGAGTTGACCACAGACTGGGGCAAGACCTGGCGGTACCTCGTCTCCGACAGCCAGCTGCGCTGGATCGGCCCCGAAAAGGGCGTGATTCACCTCGCTCTCGGCGCTGTTGTCAATGCACTCTGGGATCTGTGGGCCAAGACCCTCGGTAAGCCCGTTTGGCGTATTGTTGCGGACATGACGCCTGAGGAGTTCGTGCGTTGCATTGATTTCCGCTATATCACTGATGCCATCACACCCGAAGAGGCTATCAGTCTGCTCAAGGAGGTTGAGTCGGGGAAGCAGGAGCGTATCAAGGAGGCAGAGGCTAGCCAGGCTGTCCCTGCTTACACTACCAGTGCCGGGTGGTTGGGATACAGCAAGGATAAGCTGAAGGTGTTGTTGGATCAGAGTGTTGAGCAGGGATACAAGCATTTCAAGCTTAAGGTTGGGGCCGATTTGGAAGATGACAAGACCCGCTTGCGTATTGCACGGGAAGCTATTGGGTATGATAAGGGTAATATTTTGATGGTTGATGCCAACCAGGTACGCTATCACTACCGATTCCGTTTCACTTTCGAGTCAGACTGACACTGGGCACATGAATAGGTCTGGTCCGTCCCCGAAGCAATCACCTGGATGCAAGAGCTTGCAGAGTTCAAGCCCTGGTTCATAGAAGAGCCCACCTCCCCCGATGACATTCTCGGCCACGCTGCCATCCGCAAGGCTCTGGCCAACACCCCCTACGGCCCCGTAGGCGTCGCCACAGGCGAGATGTGCCAGAACCGCGTGATCTTCAAGCAGCTGCTGCAAGCCAATGCCTTGACTGTCCTGCAGCCCGACGCCTGCCGTGTCGGTGGTGTGAACGAGGTCCTGGCTATTCTCCTGCTGGCACGCAAGTTCGGCGTGCCTATCGTGCCGCACTCGGGTGGTGTCGGTCTGCCGGAGTACACACAGCACCTGAGCACGATCGACTATGTTGTCGTTACCGGGAAGAAGAGCGTTCTCGAGTATGTGGATCACCTCCATGAGCACTTCGTCCACCCATCTAGCGTTAAGGATGGTTACTATGCCACCCCGTTGGAGCCTGGGTACAGTGTGGAGATGAAGGCTGAAAGTATGGATGCGTTTGAGTACCCTGGTCAGGAAGGGAAGAGTTGGTGGAGATCCGAGGAGGCTAAGAGCATTATTTATGGGCCCAGGGTTGTATAGATTTGGTAATGGCGAGTGCTGTTGCTCTAGACGATCATGTGTTTATGTATATCATGTTAATAGCTTTCAAAAATAGGTTTCAATATAGTACATACTCACTCGGTTCAGATTGGCTGTGGATATATATAGAGGGCTGTCTCCCTAGACATGTTCTCAGGCGAGACTTGAAGATAGAGCTTGCGCAACTTGGTCAACAGATGTGGATCCCCAGGATCAATTCGACTTTTTAAGTAAATTTGGGATGACTAGCGCATTGAAGTTAGAATCCCATGAAACTATGATACATTTATTTTACAGGTCATCATAAGTGCCTGGATGAACGGCCAGTGGCTCGGTTTTAGAAAATATAAGGGAAGCGCCAAGAACAAAAGTCCAGAGGCTGTGGATGTTCAAATGCTCATCGGAGTGAAGGCGTAGAACCTATGTAGTGCGGGGGTGAGGGTATAATGAGAAGTTAGCATCATCGCCAGATCAGCGCCACTGAATACCGAAAAGTTTCAAGGCGCCAGCCACATTAGGCTTCTCTGAGGCTTGCTCGAGGATTATGCGAGAATGCCCTTTCACATCCAACGCGAGAAGCTGGTACTCAAATTTGCTCTTATCCAAAGGTTTCATCATGTGTACGATGACCACGCCGGAGTTGAGAGGACCCTCGACCTGGAAATCACGGTTAGTACACTCATCTGAGATTGACCGGAAAGGGTATCATACATGGAAATGCATGCGAAGGTGCTCACGACCCAATCGATCCTTTTCAGCTGATGATCTAGTCAATTGTCAGCATCTCGGCTCTCTCGCATTATGTACAAACCCTAGAACCTACGCGAGAGGCTTGTTCCGTGCCCACCGGCTCGTGGTCTCCTCGCCATATGCCTTGATCTCTCTTCGGTCACCGAGCAATTTTATACACTCGGGGTCATCTTTAATGCGCGCTACCGCTGTTTCAAATTGCGCCGTCTTGCTGTTTGGCGACAAAACCTCGAGATAGAAAAGTGTGAAGACTCCGCCCTAACCAGATCATAGAGTCAGCAACTATTCGCCAAAGCCTCGTGAATGAATGTAGTTCATACCGTCAGTACTGCTCCAGCCAACACGATAACGAAGTTGAAGGATTGCTGTGTTGCCCGCGCAACCTTCTCTCCTCGACTCAAATCGCCCCACTGAACTCTCCCATCGTCGGACAAGATTGTAATGCTTTTTTTCCTTGAAGAAGTAGTTTGAGGCCCGCTACCTATGTTGCTCTGCGTGGCGTAGAGCCGGGCGATCTGTGTCTGTATGCGGGGAGAGGGCCGGAGGAGAAGATATGCCGGCGATAGTCCGGGAAGAGTGCGCAGCTGAAGAGAATTCATTGTGAAGGTCAAAACCGAGCGTCCTGGAACAAGTTGGAGTATCTGAGTCGAATACCGGACTCGACCGTCTTCCAACCCCGAAAGGTTCCAGGTTGCTATCGATCTTCATAATCGGCAGCACGTGCTTACAATACGGTATTACAATACGTCCTATGGCAATGAAGTTCCCAGCCAAATGTGAGGCGTTGTATCGCGATTACACCAGGCACAGGGTCGACAGAGTCCACGTTCGCCGTTCCCGACGGACGCTTTGCTCTTTGCCTTACCTGCTCACATTCTCGCCCAAACCCCCTTTTTCTTTTCTCTTTCACTTTCCCATTGATCTCCCCTCGGTACAATCATGAGTGCCACAAAGGCGCAGTCTCAAAAAATCTTTGAGAAGGCCAAGTTGAAGCCCGCGAACAAGGTGCGCATACCCCCACCCCGTACTGTATGATTGTGGCACTCGATTCTGATGTTTTTGCTTTTCAGGTATGCTTCGACTGCGGCTCTAAGAACCCGACATGGTCTTCGGTTCCATTCGGTATCTACTTGTGTCTTGATTGTTCGGCTCACCACCGTAATCTCGGTGTGCACATCTCCTTTGTCCGATCAACAAACCTCGACCGTACGTACTGCCGCACAATTTCTACACATGCCAAGTATTCCGGTGGCTCAACGCTGACATTTCTATAGAGTGGCAATGGGAGCAACTACGGGTGATGAAGGTCGGTGGAAACGAATCTGCGACCAAGTATTTCCAATCGCACGGGGGTTCCGCTGCGCTGGCGAGCAAGGACACCAAGGTCAAATACACGTGCAATGCGGCTGTCAAGTATAAGGAGGAACTCAAAAGGCGCGCTGCGCTAGATGCGCAACAGTCAGTGGATCTACACCCGGAACTGGCACGACTACGTGCTAACTAGTGTTATTGCTATATTTAGGTACCCCGGCGAAGTCATCATCACAGATCTCCCCGCCGGCACCCCCTCAGATGACTCGAACACCCCTGCTGGTGACGGCGACGATGATTTCTTTTCCTCCTGGGACAAGCCCTCGATCAAGCGTCCGAGCAACCCCCCTTCGCGCACCAGTACGCCCCCCGTCGTCAGCCGGAACGGATCCCCTTTCCTGAACGCTGGTGCAAACGGAAACGGAGCCCGCTCGAAATCTCCCTTGTCTGCTTCGGAGGAAAAGAGCGCTTCTCCCGCGCCGGCTGCTATCCGGCACACCAGCGTTAGTCGGAAGACCTCTACAGCTAGCTCTGCAAAGAAGAGTAGTGTCCTCGGTGCCAAGAAGGCACCCAAGCTCGGAGCTAAGAAAATTGCCGCCGCGGATATTATTGATTTCGACGAGGCAGAGCGCAAGGCCAAGGAAGAGGCCGAGCGTATTGAAAAGCTTGGCTACGACCCCGAGGCTGAGCAGGCGGAAGACGAGGCCAAGAAGGCTGCAACTGCTGCCGCCGCTGTTCCGATCGCCTCTCCTGTTCCAGTCAGCCCTGCTGGCATGTCCAATGACCGAAACTCCGGTGATGTGGGGCGACTAGGCATGGGTGTGAGCCGACTTGGCTTTGGCCAAGTGTCGAAGCCCGTTGCCCCCAAGAAGCCAACATTTGGTTCTATTGGCCCTGCTAAGCCCAATCCCGCTGATGGTAAATTTCCTTTCCCTCGTTGATTGTACGTCACATGAAAGATAAGCTGACACTCGACACAGAAGCGGAACTCAGCCAGACCAAAACTCGATTTGGCACTCAGAAGGGTATCTCGTCCGATGAATTCTTCGGACGGGAGCGATTCGACCCCGCTGCCCAGTCGGAGGCCAAGGAACGTCTCCGCCAATTCGATAGCGCTACATCCATTTCCAGCAACTCCTACTTCGGCCGGCCCGAGGATGAGGTCAATTCGCTTGACGATGGCTATGGTGATATGGAGGTTGCTGCTAAAGACTTCATCCGCCGCTTTGGTATCACGGCTGGAGATGATCTTGAGAACCTGTCGCATCTTGTGGGCGAAGGTGCAACTAAGCTACAAGGTGAGCAAGTCTCTGTTTGGGCATGGACCCACGTTTTGCTGACTGAATATCGCCAGGTGCTATCCGCAGCTATTTGAACAACTAGGCTAGCTGCCCATCACCGGATATTACGCCTTTTATCACTCCAAGTACCTTAGCAAGCAACATTGTTCCCTATCCCCGGTTCCGTCATCTTCCTACGCGACGTATATTGTGTCTCCCCTGTCCATCTCGCCCTTTGACAATATTTCTTTACTTGGAAAAACATTGCGATCAGCAGTCGGCCAAAAACTTGGGTTTCATATCATTCTGGTTTGCGATCTGGCGATTATTTTGTCTTCTCCCTTGCTTTTTCGCATTCCTACACAGCAACATGGAATGATCGAAGGGACCCTTTATTTTATTTTGCTCATTTCGTTGATATGGTTTAGGATAATCGAGAAATTCATGGTTTGATATTATTGATAGACAAGAATTTTTGACAAAAAGTCCCGCACCGCCCATAACTCCATGATGAATGAAGATAACACAGTAAGTAGTACATCACAGTACAAGTCACATCCAAGTGTTGAATACAAAAAAGGCCCTATATATAAAAAAGCCGGGCAAGGCTATACAGTAGCAAGTACGACCTCAATCAACGCGATAAATCGCATCGGCAACCTTCGCCACCTGCCACATCTCATGGACATCATGAACACGAACAATGTCCGCGCCACCAGCCACGCTAGCAGAGACAGTAGCAGCGGTACCCCAAACGCGCTCCCGCGGCGTCTTGACCCCAGTAAGATGGCCAATAAATCTCTTCCGACTAGGCCCCATCAACCAAGGGAAGCACTCGAGCCCCGGCATCGCCCGCAGCCTAGGCAGGTCCCGCAATATCTCCAGATCATGCTCCTGAATCTTCGCAAAGCCAAGACCCGGATCGAGGATGATGCGCCAGCGCCGGATCCCCGCGTCTTCGGCAGCCGCAATGCGCGCGCCCAGCTCAGCAGCTACTTCCGGGATAACGCCGGTCGGGTACTCGTGTAGGGTCGTCATCGTTTGCGGCGTACCGCGCATGTGCATCAGGATCACGGACTTACCGATCCGCGCTACTGTTGGTAGCATTTCTGGGTCGAGGAGGCCGGCTGAAATGTCGTTGATGATGTCTGCGCCGGCGGCGCAGGCGGCTTCTGCTACGCTGGCGCGGTAGGTGTCGATGCTGATGGCGATGTTGGCGGCTTCTGGAATGGCGGTTCGGATGTGCTTGATTGCTGGCACTACGCGGGCGATCTCTTCGGCGGCGCCGACTGGTTTTGAGCCTGGGCGGGTGCTCTCACCGCCGATGTCGATTATTGTTGCGCCGGAGGCGATGAAGTTGCGTACTGTTTCTGTTATGTAGTTTAGGTCGGTTGGGGAGTGCTTGCCGCCGTCGGAGAAGGAGTCTGGCGTTAGATTGAGGATTGCCATGACGTGGGTGCTGCGCTTGGGATCCGTTGCGCGCAAGGATGGGAATAGTGGTGAGATTGGGGTTGTCGACATTGGTGTTGGATCTGGCGGCGAGAGAGCCTTCAGATGGGTGCTGTATGTTTGCGTGTCCTTTCCTGGTAGTGGAGGGTATTCATTTGGGATTAATCTAAATTCAGATGGTTAGTTTTGCTTATTGTGTCGGTATAGCATATATAAAGCCATTGGGAGCGTACTGGCTAAGAGGTCGCAATACAAAGTCTCGCTCAAGCATCAGATTGTGTGGGATGTTGAGACGCTCATGACAGACGATCTCCTCATCATATAGTAGGATATCCAGATCAATAGAGCGTGGACCTTTGTCGATGAGCTTCTTTCTGCCCATCGCAATCTCAATAGATTGAATAGTGTCCAAAAGATCCAAAGGTGCAAGGGTTGTTTCCACCTGATAGAAATTAACAATGGGCTACCAGTTTGGACATTACTTTCGCTAACATACCTCGCATACACCATTGATGAAGGTATCTTGATCAAGCACATACATCGGTGCGGTTTCGAACAATGAACTTGTCCTTTTCACTTTGATACCAACTCGGTCCATTTCAAGACAAGCCTGCTCAATCATTTCTACTCGGTCTCCGACATTGCTTCCTAGGGCAATAAAAGCCCGGTGGATGTCTGGACTGGGAAACTTCAAATTCATCCTGGAGTCAACTGCTTGCGCAGTGGATAAATTCCTCACAGGCGGGGTCAAATGCAACGACGTTATTGAACGTCGTGATAGACCATTTCTAGTGAGAATTCCCGATGCCAATTGGGCTGTATATACCGATTGAGATTGAGAAGTTGACCCTATTGAATATTAGTGTTGCAATAAAGTAGAGACATGGCAAATAAAAAAAATTTGCGGGGACAGGCATATTTCCCCATTGGGACGATACGCCGATAAGCGTGCGAGGGGCTTTTAAGAAGTAGCTAGCCACATACCCAGGCTCTGCGGTGAGGGTTTTCTGTTACTATAAGATGTCGTCAGATTCGCCACAGTTAATTGGTTATTTGGGGCTTTACCCTGTATGCAACGGTCTATGACCACTCCTGGCCGGACCTGCAGCCAATGGCGAAAGTCTTAGCGACCTCCCAATTTGCCGTGTATGAGGAAGAAGAGATGCCAATGGAGGGGCTCTCTGGATTACCCTGGCATTCATGCTGATTTGAAAAGGAACGTAGCAATACAAATAATGTAGGCAAGGGCTTTGAGTCAATTCTGGTAAGTTTCACGTGGTTCGCCTTCTTCTTGGCGTTGACGCCGTGACGCTTTGACGTCTGGATGCCTTGGTGCCTTAATACCTATACAACATTTCTGATTCTCCGAAGTAGATAGCTAGCTAGGTGGCTTTCGTGGCATATATAATGCGAATTACGCTCATTCCTCACCGTGAACATCACCCATGAATATCAATTGATCGAAATATCTAGTTTAAGTCCTGCTTGATGATGTCCGCCGCCTTCTCAGCAACCGCATACACAGTCGCCTGGATATTACCTCTCGGCTCCAAGGGGAAAATACTAGCATCGACAACGCGGATATTAGCCGAGCCGTACACTTTCAGGTGGGAATCCACAACACCGCCATCTTCTTGTGGCATCATCGCACAGCTACCGCTGACATGGAACATAGACAAGACGAGCTCTGTGCACAGCTCCTTTGCTTTCTCAAGATCCGTCAGAGGCTCCGGTGTGTGGAGGCGTTCGCCACCTTTCTTCAGTAGCGATGTCATTGGCTCCGTCTCAGCAATCTTATCCATCCACATACTATGCCTAGCATGCAACTCCAGATCAACCGGGTGACGGAGAGTTCCATGATCAATGAGAGGAGCAGCCTTGGGGTCAGAAGATTGGATATGGACGGACCCTCGTGATAGAGGGTAGCTAAGCAGAGAAACAAGAGTAATAAAGAAACCCGGGTGCCCGAGACCGAAAAGACGTTTGGGGGATTCTCCTTCCCGGGGCAAAAGCTGGAATGGCGCTAGAATAAATTGAGCATTAGGTTCGTCGGGATTCTGGAGTAGGGTGCGTAATGCTTCATATTGCTTCTTGTGTGTCCGCGAGATGTCGGGACTGTCTATCGAAGCTTGCAGCTTCTGTAGCAATTGAGTCCGCTCGTCTTCGGGGGTATCTACAAGTGGCATGAATGCAGAGACCAGGGGCACCATGCCAAGGGGTCCGGAGCCATCCTTCTGATAAGCGGCCATGGCAGCACCCGCAACGGCAGGGTCCCGAGCCATGTCGCCTGACGGCATACCGTCTGCGACTTCATATCCGAACGAGACAATACCGTGGTCTTGCATGTTCTCGCCAACACCGGGGTTGTTGATTATTGTCGGGATCCCGTAGGACTGGAGGAGGCTTTCATCTCCAACACCAGATAGCTCGAGAATTTGAGAGGATTGGGTTGTTCCGGCAGCAAGAATGACTTCTTTCGCGACTGACACGGTGTACACGTTTGAGTCTTTGCTAAACAAGACACCAGTAGCAATGGCATCACCACCGTTGCTTCCCTTCTCTATGACAATCTTTTCAACCCAGGCTCCAGTTACAACGCGGAGATTCGACCGAGCTTGCACCTCCGGCCCCAGATATGCAGCTGCAGAATGACTTCTGGTGTGTGTGGCGGGATCAATAGAACCGGGGTTCACGAAGGGACCGGTACCGGCGCCATTGATCGGGTCATCGGCCTGCGGGTACCCAAGATTTTTGAAGGTGTCCATCCATGCCGCATGGTAAGGCATGTACTGATCTCCAAATGAGACTTGAACAGGACCCGTGCTACCTTGATCCTGCTGGTCATATTTCATCCCCTTGAAGAACTCACGGTTGTCATCTGATGGGGGTGCTGCTGTATGAAACTTGCGAATATATGGGGCTAGGCCATCCCATCCCCAGCCGGGGTTGCCCAATGTTTCCCAGGCATTCAACCCGGAACGAGAGGGATAGATGACCATTCCCATATTGATTGCTGAGGAGCCTCCTAAAGTGCGACCTTTGCTGCCTAAGAGCTTACGGCCATTGAGTTGTTCCTATGTTACATGGATAAGGCTAATGGCAAACTTTATGGGGATTGAGTGAATAATAGTGTACCTGGGGACACGATCGAAAATTCCAATCAAAGTCCTCGTCTTCAAGTGTCGCCGGCCCTAAGCCGGGAATGATGATTCGAGGGTCATTGAGACGGTTTGTTCCGGCTTCCAGGACGAGGACGCGGATATTGGGATTTTCAGTGAGTCGATTGGCGACCACGAGGCCAGCAGTACCTCCTCCAATAATCACAAAGTCATAAGATGCGTTCTCAAGACCTGCCGAGGACTCGGTGTCGAAAGTTGCCATGGTCAGTTATGTAATGTAAGTGAAGCAAGATCTGAATGAGAGAAATACATCTAGAAATGAGATGTATTTGGGGATTGCTCTTAGGAGGGGTAGACGGATTGGGGGGCTCTCAATTGAGTGGCGTCCAACTGTTTTACCTTCATTGGAAAAAAATGTATTTCGTAGTACGTACGTACATGTGACGCTGATAGCTCAGGGGAAGTAATGTGATGTATTGTACTATGGACAGCAGCTGGTTAAGGTAGCTACTACATGGTCACGTACGCCCACGTAAGAGCAACAGTACAATACAATCAACGAAGCCCCTGAATCTCTTGTCGAAATGCGCCCCAAGCTAACAGAATCCAACCAATCTAATCGGAGACTTATGTTGTATCGTAGCAACGGGATGGGCCGCGCTATGCCGAACGGGAGCAGTGCAGACCGAGCTAGAGCTAGCCTGCATGTGAAACAGAGGCATTGTATTGCAATTGACGGGATATATTTGCCAAGCCTCGGTAAGAAGACAACATCCCTGTCCTTTCGGGATGAAACGTGCGGGGATGAAAGGCTAGGCCTAGGTAGTGCATATTTTGCTGAATTTTCTCCACCGGCCTTGTCCAAAATATCAAATCTCGGATTGGTATGAATGTGATATTTGACACATATGTACGGAGTGTACCTCACCCATTTCGATGAGGTTTTTCTTCCCCAACTTCCGGCCAAGGCTGGGCTCGGGCGGGGGCCGGTGCGGGCTCGTCTCCACTTTCCTCCCGAACGGGATTGGTTCCACCGAGCCGATACGCTAGCCGAAAATAGGTTAGCGTGTGTATTAGGTCCGGGCATAATTTACAGCGTATCACTACTAAGCCACAATAAAAACGGCCTAGAGAGGGTCATCTGTTCTATTCCTTGTCTGGGGGTACCCAGCAGCCCTGTGGGTTAGCGTAGGCTCGCGTATATTGATTAGGAAAGTGGATCTTGATATTAAATATTTCTTACTCCTCATTTTCTAAATCTTCTAAATCGCCATGCGACGTTGACGGTCCGAGTAACGGTATCAAACTGAAAAGGAAAGCCACAATGGGAAACTATGGACTAAAAGCGGAGGATGGCAGGGAGGTCGTGATTGTGATGCTGGTCTTTGGGGTGATTTCCCTGAGTTCCACGATTCTTCGGATCGTGTCCCGGAGAATGAGAAGCATCAGCTTAGGCTTGGATGATTATTTCATGATTAGTGCGACGGTACGCTCATCAAACAGCCTTTCTAGCGTGGCGTGAGACTGATGAAGCCTGCAGATTTTGGTAATGGCGTGTACTGTGGTTGTAATATTGAGTATGAAACCCGTCGGGGAATGGAACAAGAGACAGCGCTAACGGGTATCTCACGCAGTGGTGACAAAGGGAGGAGTTGGGCTGCATGCAAACATGAGAGATGTCGCCTTTCCAGACATAGAATTCAATCTCAAGGTATGTGAATCACAACCCTTCCAACCGGTGGATGAAGCTCACCACCGCGCGGAAAAGATGATTATCGTCTGCCAGATTCTCTACGCAATTGGCCTCGCGCTTGTCAAAACATCAATGATGATTCTCTATCACAAGCTCTTTGGCACCAAAGCCAGCATGCGGATTGCCATTTATGTCACCGGTACTATCGTGTGGGCGTGGGGACTGAGTATCATCCTCGAATCCTTTCTTATTTGTCACCCCGTCGCCTTTAATTGGAACCCGACGCTACCTAAAGGCGGATGTGGAAATCGTAATGCAGCCTTTGTGGTAGCCGGAGTACTCAACATGGTGACCGATCTCATGGTCATGTTACTTCCAATCCCATATATTTGGAAGCTCCAGCTACCCGTGGGCCGGAAGATTGGTTTATCGGTAGCATTTTCCATAGGACTGTTGTAAGTGGATCCGCGACTGTGCTCTGATCTTGATTGCACGTTCAATGGCTAACCTTTTGAACCACAGTGTCAGCGCAATCAGTATGGTCCGCGTTGACAGTCTCATGCGCATCGATTTCAACGATCTCACATATACCCTTCCCATTCCGTTAATGTGGAGTATCATCGAACAGCAACTCGCCCTCGTCGCGGCCAACCTGCCTCTTCTCCGTAGCGTGTTCTCCGCCGTGCTTCCTGGTAGTTGGCTGGGCTCATCAGCTCGCAGGACTGGGACACCATCGGGGGAGCCCAGTGCGAAGAAGCGCTCGGCGCAGGAATATTCTCTCACGCGCATGGATGCTGGTACTAATCGAAGTGAGGTCACGGCAGACAGCCACAAACATGCGAATCACAATTCCCAGACGAGGTGGAGTGACGATGATGAGCAATCGGATACAGAGTTGGCTGCGAATGCGATGCCACCTGATGGGATCCAGATATGGAAGGCTTTTCGAGTTGACTCGACCAGAGAGAATGTTATTTGATGATAATGATACCAATGACATGTCCCTCGCCACGATAAACACAGTCTAATCATAATGGCCACGAATCATGACGGTTTTGGGGCTATCACAATAATGCCTTTTTTGGCTCGAAACATGAGCCCTTTAATTATGAGGGAGATATCCATGAATACTCTACCATATAAATGAAATGTTTTTCAGATTCTGGTGTCCTTTCAGCCCAGGGCTTGTCTCGTGACTAAGCATGCACCTAGGCGCGTGCATAGCCGCCCTTATAATCCTGACACGACAATATACCAGAAAAAGGAGCTGGTAACAGGGATCGTTGACATTGAGAAAAAGCTTATGAAAATACCATTTGCTTCTGTTGGCAGTGTCTATTTCAAAACGGATCTCCCTCCCCATTCGCAGGGCCAACTATATCAGCCAGGCACATCCGACGAGGACCGAGACTCTGAGACCTACTGTATCGGACCCAATGCCGATTACATGTTTTGGTATGGAAAACGCGCAAATTTTGACTTGGATAGGGGACCATGTATATTTTCTGCTGGAGCAACATGATACATAACGCCAAGCTGAATATCTCATAGGGAGTGACCTACGGCAATATCTTCTTGCAATTGCCAACAAAGAAATCAAGTGGACCGAGCAATTCGGGAAGCCGCTTGAAGCGGCTTTCCACATAACACCGTTTTTCCGGGAGTCAACTCCCACCGAGATTACTTGGTGCTCCTTAGGAAGTACATCGCAATGAAAGATCCCCGAGATATTTTGAATCGACCTACCCTTCGCCATCCTGGTTTGTATACAACCCTTCAATCATCAGACTGATAAAAGCTAAGTACAACAATAGACCTCACTCCCAGCAATGTCTCTGTGTGCCCCGACACATTCAAGGTCACATGCGTCATCGACTGGCAGCATACAGTTATTATCCCATTACTCCTTGCTGCCGGCTATCCGAGGCTATTTGAGAACCCTTCCCCCGAGCCCCAATAGGCTTAGTCCCGCCAAAATATCCAGACGGCTATGATATCATGAGTCCTAATGATAAAGCTCAAGTCGACGAGCTCATCCGGCGGGAATCTCTCTTCTATTTATACCGAGTTTTCAATGGAGGACTAAACAAAGTGCATCTCAGAGCTCTACAGAATCCTTTGATTCTATCACGTCAGCATCTAGTGGATTTTGTGGGCCGGCAATGGTCGGGCAATCTCATGACCTTGCGAGGAGCTTTAATGCGCATGCGTGACATATGGCCCTATGTCCCGGGGAATGACGACAACTTTGAATGTCCTACTACATTTTCAGAGCAGGAATTGAAGAGCAGACCGAGAGAAAGTCAACGTGGGACAACTTGAACATGCTTGTTGACCATTGGCGTGATGAACTAGGGGAGTCTCAGAGGAAGGCTGGGTCCGGAATGACCAGTACGACTATGCTACCAAACGGAACCAGTCCCTCAAAGCAAAATTTTCAGAAGATGGCAGTGCAGACGAGCTTGAGAACATCAAGTGAGGCTGGCCTTTTCAGGACCACGAGTTCTTTCAATCATCGTCGCATAATGCTTTTTTCAGGCTTTGTAGGCGCCTGGCGGTCAAGATAAATGCTATATATGGCAAAACATTCCTCCGAAAAAAAAAGCTGAAGTCCATATTTCTGCATGGCGTAGCCATGTGGCACCTGGCGCTAATCTGCTAGACCTAATTGGTGGCTAGTATATCTATCATCGCATGCAGGATACAGGGCTACATCAAAATCTATCCTCTTCACCAATCGGCCTCATGATCGATCCATCGTTCGTTACCGAGACGCCTGTAGATCTTCTTCAATATGGCGTGCGGTGGGACCATGAGGTGTTGTCACAAAAGAGGAGGGAACAGAGTACCACAAAGACCAGCTGCAGCCGAATGCCGGCAAAATCTATCCTCAATCAAGCTTGGAAGCAATGACGTGACAAGAACGGCGGGACTCGTCAACTAAAGCATTACTTCGTGCGAGACCAAGAAGCCCTCCGAGCCCGCTTAATTGCGCGATTAATCCTGTTTGAAAAGCCCGCCGAATCATAATACAACCTACAGCTTTTCTCGAGAAAGAAGTAAGCGATTTACGCGCCGACGAGAAGTAGAAGCGAAGCGGACTTGGTCGACTAAGCAGGTAACCCACGAATACGGCACCACGAGGATGTGGAATATGTAGGGCTCTAGGGCATAGAAGTGGGACATGTTTAGATGAATTAATCTAATTTGATTAATTAATTAATTGTACTTTAGTTGAGATAAACGCATTTAAATCCAATCAGTCGGGTTGGGTGTGCAGGAAATACGTTGACTAGCTAAGATCGAGGTAAAAAGGGAGCTTAAACGGTCCAAGACAACTACAACATAGATACGCATTTCAACAGCCGACTTATCTTCAGTTAGTTTTGTGTTGTAAAACATCCGATTGGCGTTTCCTCATCGTCTCCTCAGTTGGCGCAATAGCTGCCAGAGCTGCTCTTCAGCACGCAATCACAGTCTCCGGTGACATCTTGATCTTGGCCTATCGCCAACTAGATTTTTCGGCCGATCACCGAGGCTATGTAATTAGTTGGAGTCTGCTATATAAGTTTCTCCAAATCCTGTTTGTTGGGTATACACAAATATGACAGTCCCCCAACAACGGCGGAAATGGTGGAAGGTGCAATGGTTTGCAGACCAGGACACTCCAGAGGAGAGACGGCTCATTACCAAACTCGACTTGCTGATTGTCCCTTATGCGTTCCTCGCATACTGGACTAAATATATTGACCAGGCAAACATAAGTAAGAAATCCTCCGACGGGATATCAAGTATGTTAGGTCAATTCTGACAACAACCAGATAATGCCTACGTCTCCGGCCTCAAAGATGACCTAGGTCTACACGGAAATGAGCTTGTACAGCTGCAAACAATGTATACTATTGGAGCAGTGGTCGGACAACTGCCCTTCATTTTCCTATTTACCAAGCTCCCAATGTCTTGGATGATTCCGTGTATGGATGTTATGTGGGGAATCTTCACGTTGTTGCAGTACCGGGCGAACTCTTATGCAGAGATGGCAGCCTATCGCTTTTTCGTGGGCTGGTTTGAAGTAAGTATAGAGAGGTCTGATTGACTGAATGAGAGTACTGACATTAGCCAGGCGGGTTTCTTCCCGGCAATGCATTACACTTTTGGTAGGCATAACCTAATCTCCTTGTCAGAAGATCCATCACTAATTGACAATAGGTTCATGGTATCGCGGCGATGAAATCGCCCGCCGCGGAGGATTCTTTTACGTCGGCCTGACCTTCGGCACATTAACAGCAAGTCTGATTCAAGCGGGCGCCTCAACTCGACTGGACGGCGTCAATGGACTCGCCGGGTGGCGATGGATGTACATTATCTGCGCAATCATCACCCTCCCTATCGCAATCCTCGGCTACTTCGTCCTCCCCGGATCGCCCGACAGGCCGAACAAATTGGTGTTGAAAGAAAAAGATGTACAGATAGCCAAAGCCCGACTGGCACGAGTGGCGCACGAGACAAAAGAAAGCAGTCTCTCTTGGCGGTCGGTACTAAGGGTCGCCAGTAACTGGAAGTTCTGGGCTCTACTTTTACTGGATGTGCTTTTCTGGAATGGGTCTATAAATACCACTGCCGGTGGATACCAGCTGTGGCTCAAGAGCCTGGACCGATACCCTACCGGCCGCTTGAATGAGCTAGCTGCTATTTCCCCTGGCTTGGGTATCTTTTACACGCTCTTCATTTGCTTCTCGTCGGATCTATTCTTTGGACCTGCTTGGGCGATTACAGTGTCCCATATATGGAACATTATCGGACTGATCATTCTTGTTGTCTGGGACGTCTCTGAGTCGACGCTATGGTTCGCGTTCCTGACTACTTACTCTGCTGTTGCCATGTCGAGCGTTCTTTACGGTTGGGTTAACAGTCAGCTACGAGCTTCTCCGGTTGAACGCGCCCTAACTCTCATCATCATCAATACCGTCTCCCAGTCAACCACAGCATGGACTCCTCTTTTGGTTTTCAAGACCGTTGAGGCGCCGCGATTCACCAAGGGATACTCATTTGTCCTCGGAAATGCCATCTGCTTGATTTTGCTCGCCCATGTGATCCAATTCTTTATTTCACGAGAAGAGTAAGTCATCCCCCTAATAACCAAGTCAAGGATCTCTAATAAATTTGTTACAGGAAGCTTAAATCGAGTCGGGGGAGCGTATCCGGTTCAGAAAGCGCAGATGTTTCGAGCTATCTCGAGGCCAATGTTCAAAGCGAGGGTGTACAGGGGAAAGTTGATACACAGTCATAATGCAGCACTTGATAGCATTCATAAATAGACTTTAGGTAAACATTACGTTGGAACTATACAACTTGATTAGATCACTGTCATGAAAACTTCCTGCCATTGGCGTGAAACCAGACATGATTTTCTGTATAAAAACAGTACGGGATAAACACAAGTCGGCTGTAAAACGCATGAAACAAGATATTAAACGACATCATAAGAAACCCACCGCAGAATTCTCATTCTCATAAAAACGGGGTTGATTTACGTCTCGTTTGCAGAAGTCGATGTTGTGCTTTATGCGTCCTAATTAACATACGCAACTAAACATAGTGGTGTGCCACTGGTGTCATTCAAAAGCTGATAAATGCCAAGAGATATTTAACCCACAGTTCTACCTGAGGCACCAATTATATGCAAACCTTGCAAACTTTTCAGGGGACTTTTTTTCAAGGTCACGTGTACCCCATCTGTAATTTCTAAAGCCATTGATCCAACTCCGAGCTACACCTTATCTCGTGTCACCGCTGGGTTTATTGCCATTCCTAAATCCTCGACGTTTACGACTCTCACGCCTTTCGCATCTGATCTCGTTCCGGTGATCCGCCTTTTCTTCCCAACTTTCCGCCCGTCCGCCTCATTCACACATCATGGATCACACACGCGATCCCTGTCCCTGGGTTGCCCTGAGCGATTTCGGAGGTGCCTTCGCC